CTAAAGACCTTTATCAGAATTCTACCTCTGATGTAGATAGATAGATATTAAATTATGTTAAATTAAATGATGAGGTGGATAGAGTGCTGGATTTGAAGTTGGAAAGATCTAGGTTCAAATGTTACTTGTGACATCAGTTGGCTGGGTGAGCATGAACAAGTTCCTCAATTTTTCTGAGCTTCAAACTCATCTCTAAGATTTAACCTAAGAAATTACAGAATGGTTGAGATCTGTGTGGGTGAAGGTTCTTGCACACTCTCAAAATGATGGGTTCTTGACATATTGAAGTACAATGTATTGAATTGAGATCATTGAAAAGAGATGTAACAATTAATGTTTAGTGGGAGTGAATGGAGTCTGATCCTTTTACAAATGAAATAACTCAAAAGTTTGATCTGTGTGATGGATATAATTCTTGTCTCCAGCTTCATAGGTGTTTATTCAGGAGAGGATGTCTGTGAAGCCCATATGGAAGGGAGAATTCCTGGCAGTCCTGAGACAAAAATTCTGCATTCTGAAGAGTAATGGTTTTATCATTATCCTCAGGTTGCAGGCTTTCTGTCTCAGGATTGTCTAGATAGGGTTGCTTCTGGAGGTTGTAAACTGCTGTGCCTGGAAAGTTTCTTTTCTGGGTTTTCACAGGCATTAATGGAGTATAATGGGAGCCTTTCCTAGTCCCTTATCACAAAATCATCCATTTGAAAAGCATTTGCTGCTAAATGGTGGGAAAAAGGAACAGGATGACAGGAACACTTCTCCTGCTTCCAATAAGTGCCTGATCCCCCTAAAACATGGAGATTCTGGGAATCCTTGAACAAATGCTAGAAAAAGGACTGAACCTATGATTTATTAGTGTGGGGAATTCCAGGGTAAGGATATGTTCTGTCTCAATGTAAGTCAGTGCTTTCTCTTCAACTTGAGTCGTAAAGACTTCATAGTCTTAACAACTATTAGAGGCAATCTGGTACATAACCTAGTGGATAGAACATGAGACCTAGAGTTCATATCCCACCTCAGACAATAGGTGTTTGATCCTGAGCAAGTCACTTAACCTCTGCCTGCCTCAGTTTCTGCATCTGTAAAATGGGGAGAATAACAGCACCTACCTCCCAAGGATATTGTGAGGATAAAATGATATAATATGTCAAAGTGCTTTGTAAACTTTAAAGTTCTATCTATGATAGAATGCTGGCAATTATTAATATTATTAATAATAAGGAGTTATTTAGAACACTGAAAGGGTAAATAACTTGCCCAGGTTCACACAGGCAGTTTATGTCAGAGGTAGGACTTGAACCAGACCAGGGCTCGCTCTCCACTCACTACACCTTGCTTTAAGGACATAGAAATTGCTGTTCTCTGTCTAGCACTTCAATTTAACTCAAGAAGGATTTTAAGTATCTGTTATGTGCCAGGAACTGAGAAAAAATGAAATTTCCACCCCAAATATCATGTTTTCTCTGAATAAACCCATTGTATGTCTCTCATACATAGAACTAAGATTTTGGAAACAACTATACATATATATGTACATATGTATGCATGTACATATGTACATATTTATGTATTTATATTTTCAATGGATATCCCACTGTATTCTTTAATCCAGTGACACTGGGCTCCTTGCTATTCCATGAACAAGACACTGCATCCCTTCAATCTGAGCATTTTCTCTGGCTGTCCCCCACACTGGAAATGCTCTTACTTTTCGACTCTGCCTCGGACAAAATCCTGCCTTCTGTCGAAGTCTTTCCCAATCCTGCTTAATTCTAGTGCCTTCCTTCTGTTAATGATTGCCTGTTTGTCCGTAGTTGCCAGCTTGTTGTCTCCCACATTAGATTATAAGTTACTGGAGGGCAGGGACTCCCTTTTGCCTTTCTTTGTATCCTCACTATTTAACACAGTGTATGGTATATAGCGGGTGATTAATATATGTTTATTCATTGACTGACTGACTTCTGCCAAATGAATTCCAAAAGTTTAGTGATTTCTCTTATTTGCCTAAAACTTACCTCTTTAAAAAAGCAAAAACTACATTTTACTATAAACTTAATAACATCCTCAAGAAATGAAAATAAACAACAGAATGTGATATACTGACTAATAATCTTGGCCCTGGAGAAGGGATGTGGAAGTGTCTTCCTTCTGCAGGAGAGACATGGGTAACTAGGGATGCAGAATTTGGCATAAATTATTAGAAAAGAAGAAGGAAATAAGCAGTTTTTAAGTACCTACTATGTGCCAGGCAAGTGGGAAGCACTTTGCAAATATTACCTCATTTGATCCTCACTCTAGCTCTGAGAGGTAGTTGCTGTTATTATCCTCATTATGTAGTTGAGGAAACTGAGGCAGATGGTAGTTAAATAACTTGCCTAAGGCCATACAACTTGAAATCTGAGGTTTGATGTGAACTGGTCTTCCTGACCCCAGGTCATTATGTTGATTGGCTTTGCTTAGCTGTTTTGTTTTGTTTTTTTCTTGTAAAGGAGGGCTCATTTGGTTGAAGGGGAAGAGGGAGGTGAAGGGAAGGCAAAAGACTGATGTAAAGACAAAAATTGTCAATAAATTTATTTTTAAAAGAAAAATGCAAAATATGGAAAAAAATCCTAAATAAATCTAAATGATATATTTTGTTTAAAAGGGAAGAGAATATATAATATAAACTTTAGCCAAATAATGATAATTGCCATTAATATAACATGTTAAAATTTGAAAAGTTCTTTATAGGCATTATACCATTTGAGTGTCTCAACAATCCTCTGAGATTGAAACACAGAAAGGTTAAAAGAGTTTTCCAAAGTCATATTAGATATATGACTAGGGGAGGCTAGGTAGCTTGATGGATAGAGCTCTGGCCTTGGAGTCAGGAGGACCTGAGTTCAAATCCAGCCTCAAACACTTGACACTTACCAGCTGGGCAAGTCACTTTACCCCTATTGCCTCACCAAAAAGGAAAACAAAACAAAACAAAAAAGTCATCCATCTAGTGAAATGTCAGAGGTGGGATTCAAATCCAGGATTTCATGCTGCTAAGTCTAGCACTCTGGCCACCAGTCCAGATCACTTCTAACAATGTCTTCTCTGTCCCTCCTTCCAGTCTCTTCTTGATCTGTATTCCTAAAGTTGTGCTGCTGTTATATTTATTTGTTGTGTTTTTATTTATTGTTTCTTTGCATTCGTATGTAATTCCCTATTTCTTTGTATTCTTTGTAGTTCTCATTTTCCCCCTCATAATGGTTTTCTATTACATGAATATACCATAGTCAGTCAACAAACATATATTAAGTGCCTACTATGTGCCCAGCACTGTGCTAAGCAGTAGGGATACACAGAACAACAAAAGACAGCCCTGTCCCTCAAGGAGCTCACAATCTAATGGGGGAGATAACAAGCAAACAAATATATACAAACAAAGTATAGACAGATAGGAAATAACAGAGGGAAGGCACTAGGAACAAGAGTGGTTGGGAAAAGCTTCCTGTTGAAGGTGGGCTTTTAATTGGGACTTAATGGAAGCCAGGGTGGCTAGTAGGCAAAGATGAGGAAGGGGAGCATTCCACGCATGGGGGACAGCCAGAGAAAATGCCCAGAGCAGAAAGATGAACTATCTTATTTGAGGAACAGTACAGAGGCTATTGTCACTGGATTGGAGGGTATGTGGTGGGGAATAAGGTGTGAGAAGACTGGAAAAATAGGAGAAGGCTAGGTTATCAAGGGCTTTGAATGCCAAACAGGTTTTATATTTGATCCTGGAGTCATAAGAAGGCAGCTAGGTGGTGCAGTGGGTAGAGCAGCAGGCCTGGAGTCAGGAAGACCTGAATTCAAATCCAGCCTCAGACACTAGCCGTGTGACCCCAGGCAAGTCACTTTACCCCTGTTAGCCTCAGTTTCCTCGTCTGTAAAATGAGCTGGAGAAGGAAATGACAAGCCACTCCAGTATCTTTGCAAGAAAACCCCAAACGGGGTCATGAAGAGTTAGACAGGACTGACATGACACCACAAATAACAATAGTCAGAAGAAGCCACTAGAATTCATTGAATTGGGAGGTGACATGGTCAGACCTACATTTTAGGGAAATCACTTTGGTGACTGAATGGAGGATGGACTGGAGCGGGGAGAAACTTGAGGCAGGCAGACCCATTACAGTTTGTTAAGCAGTTTCCCAATAGTTAAACACGTAGGTTATCAGTGTTTAATTATTTCAGAGGAAGCATCGATGAATGATTTTGTTCAGATAAGCCTTCTCCTGGCTCTCCTCCCCTGCCATGCTCCATCCAATAAAATTTAGGAAATAGTCCAAATAGTGACCTTTAGGTCAAAGAGCATGATAGACTAACCTTACCTCTCTTGAGTTTCAAGGGTTCCCTACAGATTTGTTACACTTGGATCTGATGAAAAAGTTCAGGATTTTACAGTCCTTGGTTATATACCTTACCCCTTAGGCTCCACTTTCTCAGTTCCAAGAGTTCTTATTTGTTTCATCTGCCATTGTGTATCAGCCCTGTCACATTCCTCTTTGGAGCAAGAACCAGGGATGTGTGTTTTCTCCCTTTCCTATGTAAAAGGAGGCCAAAGAGGGGATCCCAGCTTCAGAAGCCCAGCTGTGCCCAAGAGTGGACTAAGCTGGCTCCTGGCTCCCCTCCCTCCTTTTCAGACTTCCTCAACAGCTCCAAGTCAAACACAAATCTGGATATCGACAGGTGGAGGGCACTAATCTCAATGTCGTGGCCCTGGTTGCCCTGGCCTCATGATAGTGTGTCTCCCTCTCTCCTCTTGCCACACCCCCTGCCTCCTCACATGTGGCAGAGTATTTCAACAGCTTGTGACCTTCCTTACTTCCAGTGGAGCCAGTTCCCATCACCAGCCAGAAGCTCTTGGCCTGTTGCTGCTCCTTACCTTTCAGAAGGACTTAGGAACAGGCTTGTTCTTCTCTATCAGGGATGGCAAAACTTCAGGCATAAACAGGAACAAGAATCTCTGGTCCTAGGGAGCCTCAACCAACAGATCCCCCAAGCCCTTGACCTCCTCCTGAGAGAAGAGTTGCCACAATGAAATGGAACCAAACAATCTTGGATCTGGTAAGGATCTTCCCAAGAATGAGCCTTTCTCTTCTCACTTCCCAAGAATAAGCCTTTGTCTTCTCACTTTGCTCGGCACAATGAGGAAACTGCGGCAAACACGGTTAGGTGACTTGCCCGGGGTCACGTAGCTAGTAAGTGTCTGAGACCAGATTTGAACTTAGGTCTTCCTGACTCCAAGCCTACTGCTGTATCCTGTGCACCACCTAGCTGCCCAACCTAGCACATAGCAAGTACTTAATAAATTGCTTGTTGATTTGTCCTGACTTGGGGTGAGTCTGGGGTAGCTCATTAGAATAAACATATGAGTGGGCCCTCTCTCAGGAGGCTACTGCTTCTTCTTCAGCCTGTGCAGGAACTCCCTGAGAAAGAATATGCCTATCCTGAATCAGGGCTGCCTCCAACATATGTGAGGAGTCCCACAACTGGCATCGGACAGAAAGAGCCAGAAAGTGGGCTCCCCACTCTGAAGCAGCCACCACACCTCACCCTGGGCAGTCAGTCCTGAGCAAGCTCCCCCCTCCAGCTCTGACAGGGGCATTCCTGGTAGTTGACAGTGGTGACTCATGACCAAGTCCTGAAACAGGTTGGTCAGCATTTGGACAGGGCAACCCGCTCCTGGCCCTGGCCCTAGCCCAGGTCCTCCCTATAACTTCCTATGTGGGCAGGCTGCTACCAACTGTTTAACATCTGGTAGGAGGGCTAGACAGGTAGACCTGGGGATTCTCCCTGGTGGTGGACGGTAGCATGTCTCTCCTGATTGCCTTTGACTAGGACTAACTCTGCTACAAACAAAGACAGAGAGCATACAGGAAAGGAACAGTCTAAAAGGGGAGTCAGAGAGATCTTGAGATGGTAGATGGGCAAGGGTGTCTAGGAGTAAATGAGGCCCTTGATGGGCTTATACGGAATCGGCACCAGAAGAACACCCAGACTTCTATTTGCTTTCATGCATGAGCAAGCAGGGAAGAGGAGAAGAGAAGCCTAGCAGAGGTCAGCTATAGGGACACTGGCAACTACTCATTGTTCAACAAAGTACCTACTATGTGTCAGGCACTACACCAGATACTGGGGATACAAGTGCAAAGAATAAAACAATCCCCACTCTCACAGACCTTACATTCTAATGGGGAAAACCATGAGTGCATATAGAAATATAATGTGAATAAACACAAATGTATAGAGAGTCATTTGAGAGTGAAGGGGAGAATCAGGAAAGGCTTGAATGTTAAAGGGGGATGCTTGAGCTTTAGCATTTAATTAGCTGCTATTCTACTTTCAAACAATCCTAGTGCCGGAGCTGGAAGGACCTTTCAAAGTCATCTAGTCCTAACCCCTCATTGTATAAAAGGGGATCTGAAGTCCATTGAGATTGAGACCTCACCTGAGGTCACATAGGTAGTAAGTGACAGAGCCAGGATTTGAACCCAAATCCAGTGACTTTTTCCCCTGGACTATGCTGCCTTCCTTGAATTGCATGAATCTGAGATGAGTGACGGGCTTCAGAGGACCTAGGTTGAATCTTCAGACCTCTGTTACTATCTATGTGACCTTGTCATTTCAACTCATTGGGCCTCAGTTTGCTGGTGGTTGAATTAGACAAGCAGTTCTCAAGCTTTTTGGTTTGAGGACCCATATATACTCTTAAAAATTATTGAGGACCACCTCTACCCACCAAGAACTTTTGTTTATATTGGTTATATCTATTTTTACTTGCCATATGAGAAATTAAAACACCCTAGTGTTATTATGAAAATAGTTTTGACCTTGTAGGCCCCTGTGAAAGGGCCTCAGGGATGCCCAGAGAACCCCAGACCACACTTTGAGAACCACTCCATTAGATAATCTCTAAGGTCCTTTCAGCTGGAGGCATTTGGTATCCTAGGCAAACATCATGAAACAAATATGAACTTGTCCAGGCAGAATGAAATCAATTTTGTAATTCATGATATAAAAATACAAGAAGAAATTTAGACAAATTCGATTGAGTGGGAGGGAAGTAGTTACTATAGGCACATCTTAGCTGCTGGGTGAATACATGTGTTAAAATTCAGTGCCTTCAAGCATTGCCCAAATTGCCCTGCCCTGGTTAAGATTAATTCCAGATCTAAATTCTCTAATCCTATGACCTCTATGTTTTGTCTCTAATACTTGTAGTATTGCAAAAAATTTCAAAGCAGGGCCTGGCAGAGGCAAAAGGCCTGCAAACAGGGACTTTCAATGAGGAATTCATGTCCTTCTGAGTTTCTGAAGTCAACTTTTCCCCACTGTCCCTAGGAATAAAAGGAATTGCTCATTATTAAGCAATCAGGAAACATTTATTAAGTGCCTACTATGTGTCAGACACTGTGCTAAGTGCAGAGGATTTAAAAAGAGGCAAAAGACAGTCCCTGCCCTCAATGAACTTTCAATTGCATAAGCGAGATGAAAACAAATATATACAAACTATATACAGGATAACAGAGGAAAGGCACTAGAATTAAGAGGGGCAGGGAAAGGCTTCCTTTAGAAGATAGGATTTTAGTTGGGACTTAAAGGAAGCAAGGGAAATCAGTATTAAGGACTACATTTGATACAAGGCTAGAGTCCTTGAGGAAAGTGTCCTACATGTACCTTCTTCCCTGCCCAGTCCACCTCTGGGGTATAGACAGCAGAGGATCCTAGGTCCCAGTGCTTTAGGGGGTCCAGCTGCTGCAGTGTCAATGACTGGGCAGTAATTTAGGGAGAGGCTAGGAAAAAAAATATCCACCAGATGGTGTTAAAAAAAACAAAAACAAAAACAAATGATATGTAACTAAACTCTTTTAGGAGGAGGAAAACCTGTCCCCAGTGATCTGCCTCTTCTCTTTTTCATCTCTTACCCCTCAGGCTACAGGCTTCTTTTTTGTAATTTCTTTTATCCTTCAAAAGGGCTCTGGAGGTTCATTTTAAGCTGCTTTACCTGCCCCTCTTCTGTTCCTGTGATTTCACTCTGGTGTGGAAACTCTCTCCACCAATGCAGATAGGCAGATCAGCATAACCAATGGTCTTATAAATTTTTCTGGGGCTCTCAGGTTAAGTGACTTACCCAGGATCAAACAGCCATATGTGTCAAAGGCAAGACTTGAACCCAGGTCTTCCCAGTCCCAAGGTCAACCTTCTATCTACAATGTCAGCCTACCTTTAAACCTATTTTCGCCTGGATAAAAATGTATTGGGGAGGGGAGAAAGTGTGATTTTTTTTTAAGCCCCAGCCTGAGATGTCTCTGAAGATGACTCTAGAAACCACCAGAGGGTATTAAACTAACCTAGAGTACTGGAAGGTCTTTAGGAATCAGGTTGGAGGGTGGCTTAGCAGGGGCCTCGAGGCCATAGTCAAAGGGCTGCACTGGAGGACCTGGAGGGCTACATGTGGCCCAGAGGCTGCAGGTTACCCACCCCTGACCGAAATATAGGTGCTATTGCCCCTTGCAGCCTAGTGCAGGGAAGAATTCAATTGGGAGTTAGAGAACCTGGGTTCAAATTCCTTCTCTGATGGTTACTATGTATATGACCTTCAGCAAGTCCTCATCTGTAAAACAGAGGGGGAGACCAAGTGATTTCTAAAGGTCTCCCATCCTATAACATTGACTTTAAGAACTTCAGTAAAGCAGACTGCCCTTGGGTGGTGCTTTGGGAGCATTTCTCACCCATCTTCCTGAAAATGTTTCTGAAACCTCCCTATCTGCCCCATCTTCTGCCTCACTGTATTACCTCCAATTGAACCAAGCCTATGATTTAGGATCATAAAATCTAGACCTAGAAGAGACTCCAAAGCCCTCTTTTTGCAGATGAGGAAAACCCGTCTTTGGTGGCTTAAAAACGGCTTACCTCAGGTCACACAGGAAGCAAATAAAAGCTGAGATTTGAATGACCTCAGGTCCTCTGACGCCAAGCCTAGTGTTCTTTCTGCAATGCCACACACAAAGTCACAGCCCTATGGCAATCATGAGAAACTTGAGGGGATCCGTGTTGGCCTTCCGTTGATCTGGCTTTCTATAATAATTCTCGCTGGGTTCTTGAGAACCTAGGAGGCTGTCCTCTTCCAGCGGAAAAATAGTAAGTGGCATTTTGTAGTGCTTTAAAGTTATAGATAATAATCTCATTTTAGGGCAGCTAGGTGACACAGTGGATAGAATGCTGGACCTGGACTCAGGAAGACTCATCTTCCTGAGGTCAAATCTGGTCTCGGACACTTACTAGTTGTGTGACCCTGGGCAAGTCACTTAACCCTGTTTGCCTCAGTTTCCTCATCTGTAAAATGAACTGGAGAAGGAAATGGCAAACCACTCCAGTATCTTTGCCAAGAAAACCCCAAATGGGGTCACAAAGAGTTGGACACGACTGAAACTACTGAACAACAACAATATCACGTGGGAGGAGAATAATAAATGTTTGTGGGTTGAAATAAGAGAAGATATCATACTAATAAAGATAGCCTGGCACAGTGAAAAGAGCATTGCATTTGGAGTCAGAAAACCCAGGTTCAAATCCTGACTCTGCTATGTAATTAGCTGTGTGACTTTGGGTGAGTCACTTAACCAGTGACCTCAGTTTCCTTATCCATAAAATGAGGGAGTTAGACCAGATGATCTCTGGGTTCTTGTGTGCCCAACAGCTCACATTTCTATAGTATTTTAAAGTTTACAAAGTGCTTGTACAAATGGCATCATCCCCATTATTTTTGTTGTTGTTCAGTCGTCGTTGAGAGTAGCTAACTGAGGTTCAGACTTGCCCGTGGTTCAATAAGTGACTTTCATGCTAGTAAGTTTCAGAGCCTAGACTTGGGTTTCCTGTCTTCTAGTCTGGTGCTTTCCCCCCTATGTGATATACAGGACTTTTTAACCATAAAACACATGGTATAGTGGAAAGAGAATTGGTTCTGGAATCCAAGGACCTGGGTTCAAATTCTGAGTCTGATACTCAACGTGTATGACTTTGAGCAAGATTGCAGGACCTTAACTTCCCCAGGCCTGAAAAAATGAGAGAATTGGACTAGATGCCCTTTGAAATACTTTCAATCTCTAGATCTAAGAACCTATGATAAATAAATCTCAGAAATGTTTCTGCTACAACTGATATTGATGCCTGATTGATAGTAAAATTGGGGGGAGGGAGAAGAAGACAGCTGTGCAGGGGGATGCCTTCTTATCTGCTCAGCAGGCTTCTTTCCTTTCCATCTCTCAAGCCAGCTGTGCCACGATGGAGTAAAGAGGGAACATGGCCCCAGTGACAACGTGAGCTGCCTCAGGAAAGGAGCTCTAAGGGTACAAATAATATTTCTGCTGATTGGGTTTCATCCTTCCAAGCCCTGTTGTGGGTCATGTTTATCTCATGAGAGCTCTGGAAAGATGGGCAAAGTCAAGAAGATTAGTCAGGAAAATATCTAAGGCGAGGAGGGGATTTACCTAACAGCACCTGTTATCTCTTTGGGGCTGCCTGGATCACAGGCCAGGAGGTGACTGAGTTTCCCTGCTGTTTGTTTATTCTGGACAGGGCTTCCCGATGCTTGGGAGGGACTTAGTGGGACCTAGTAATAAAGGTCAGATGATGAAAGGGAAACAGAAACTTATGGGCTCCCAAGGACCATGTTATACATTTCCAAGGCTGTTTAGGAAAATTATTTTTTAAAAAACCTGCATAAAGTGAAGTGAGCAGAACCAGTAGAACATTGTACATGGTAATAGCAGTATTGTACAGTCATCACCTGTGAACGACTTAGCTATTCTCAGCAATACAATGATCCAAGATGATTCCAGTGGGTTCATGATGAAAAATGCTGTCCACTTCCAGAGAAAGAACTGATAGAGTCTGAATGCAGATTAAAGCATACTACTGTTCATTTTTTTTCATGTTTTTTTTCTTTTGACTCTGTGACTTTTTCCCACAACATGACTAATATGGAAATATGTTTTGCATGATTGCACATGTATAACCTATATCAGATTCTTACCATATTAGGAAGTGGAGAGTTGAAAGAGGAAGAAAATTTGGAACTCAAAATTTTTAAAAAATGAATATTAAAAATTGTCTTTACGTGTAACTGGGGGAAAATATTACTTTTTAAAAAACTTGTATAAATTATGAACCATCTGTAAAAACAATTTAGAATTTTGTGTTTATGAAACTACTTAAATTGATACTTTCTTACTGGGATCCAGGAACTTAGGTCTTCTGATGCCAAGTCTAGTATTCCAAGTTCAGTACTCTTCTTACTTGTAAAAAAAATTTTTTAATTTAAATTTTTTTTAAATTCACAATTGGATTGAAGATTCATCTTTAGGGATCATGTAACTATGTCCTTCTCTTTTTATATCTCTGACTCTGACTCCCCTCTCTCCTGTGGCAGGTGGAGCAAATCTTGTCTGAGTTCAGGCTACAGGAAGAAGACCTGAAGAAAGTGATGAGGCGGATGCAGAAGGAGATGGACCGAGGCCTGCGGCTGGAGACCCATGAAGAAGCCAGTGTGAAGATGCTCCCCACTTACGTGCGCTCCACCCCAGAGGGGTCAGGTAGCTGTGTTCCCAAAGATTTCATGAAAGGGCTCCAGTTCCCATCCTTGGCCAGACCCTACTGAGCTCCTAGTTCTGTGATTCCTTAATTTCCACTAGGTGGAGCTCCTCAGATGTAGCTTCCAAAAGGTTGTAGAAGACTATTGGGAGGAGGAAACTTCACAGATGTCACTGTGTCCTGACCACTGGTTCAGGGTCTGCTCTCAGTTCTATTGGTCCATGACCTTGGTGATCATCTTGTTCAGGGATGAGCAAATCCTGGAAAACACTTGCCACCAAACTCACTTCTATGAACCTGGCTAGGCCCATAACTTGTAAACTAACAAATTAATTTTCAAAGTTCTCTTCTGAGATCCCATAGGGGTATAGAGGTGATTCGGGGTTCTTAACAGCTGTGCCAGCAGGGCACACCTTCTAGTAGAATCTACCAAGCTGGAAAGGTTTTGTGTCTGGGTCTGTCAATAGACCTAATGTCTTATATCTGAAGACCAGCCTAGCTAGGCTCAGAGGGGCTCATCACCAAGTTTTTTTCAGCCACAAAATCTTAAGAAGACTGATTACAAAGGGAACCCATCTTCACATCACAGATAATCAAAGTAAAATTTAAGTATAGTGGGAGCCATTGAAGTATGATTATCAAGACTGGTCATCTGCTTAGGGCCTTCTCCTTTCTGATGGGAAAGTTCATTCATTCATTCACTTACTTATCCATTAATTTATTCACTGATCCATTCATTCATTCATTTACTCACTCACTGATCCGTTCGTTTATTCACTCATCCATCTATCCATCAATTCAATTAATTTCAAAAGATTTTTTTTAGTTTATTTGTTTGGGTCAAGACCTGATTTCACCTGTATAGGGAACTCCTATTGAGGAAACTTCCTGCACTGATAGAAATCAGCAACTGGTCTATAACTCCTAGTCTCAGAGAGCTGCCTGGGGGCGAGCACTGACAGGGTAGGTAATTTACCCAGGATCACACAGCTAATAGGTGTCAGAGGCAAGATTTGAACTCCAAGGATGGCCCTTTATGTCCCCTCTGCTGATTGTCATCAAAGAGTTTCTTACTAAATGTATAGGACGCTTTGATCTGTCTTGGTAAGTCACCCTTCTTTGCTCTCTGACTCTTCTCTGAAAAAAGAGCACTTGCATTTTTGGACCATTCTGGGGAGTACTCGGCACTGACCAATTCTTACTCAAACTCCGCTTTTCCTAGATTCTTTGCTGATCACCCTGCCTTCTGATTTCAGTATCCACCTAATTTCTCTATGCTTTTGTCTTCCCTAACTCCTTTCCCAGGAAAAAGCCATTTGGCAAATTCCATCCCACCTCCTCTGACCCTTCCTAGTTGTGTACATTTCAGCGGATGACAATTCTTTCCTGGGGACAATTTGTCCTACTGACCCCTGACCCCCTCCACAGTCCCATATGAGGCCTAGCCATACTTCAGCCCTCTGTAGCCCTCCTGCCACTCACTATTGTGAACCTGTAGTCCAGAGGTTCCAAAACTTATTGGCTTACCGCTCCCTTTTAAAAAAAAATTACTGTGTTCTCTGGAAATCTACTTTCTTTAACTCTTTACTGGTTTTTAAAAAAATTTGCATCATTTCAAAAAATATAATTTTTAAAAAAAATGACACATCTTAAATTTAACAATTTATTGTAAATTTGTGAGTTTTTTCCTTCATTGAAATTTTGGTGACACAATATTGCATCATGTAACCGTATAGTATCTTGTTGTAAATAAGTCATTGCACACACTTATTCCTGCCTATGCATGCTGGACTTCCTAACAATGTATGACAACACTTGCTTGTTAAGACCTGTTAGCAGATTTGACCACTGATCAAATAACTGCAAATAACTTGCATTTTGTGTGTTTATTTGGAAAACATTGTAATCACTACGACATTGACTCTGTTATACAACAGATGAAATGTATATGAACAGTTTTTCAAAATTTTCTTCTCTTCTTTTCTTTTGCTTCCACTGCCCACTTATTTTTATTCAACGCACCCCAATTGCACGTAAGGCTACTACCACCCCTCTGGATCTTTTCCCCCCAGGGGCAGTATTGCCCACTTAGGGAACTATGTTCTAGTCAGAACGTCTAACCTCATCATGCTGGTAAAGGGACTTCTGGGGAGTCAGGAGTATACAATCTTGTCTCTTATCTCTGGTTCACTGGATCTCTCTGCTGCTCTTCCCTGGTCCTAATCCTTCACATCCCCAGACTCCTGATGGTTTAAGGGTACTCACAGATCTTGTAGATGTGGACTGAACCCTCTATTAGGAAATGAGATTGTGTGGTACAGTGGAAATAACATTGACTGTAGAGTCAGAGAAACTGGGTTCAAATCCCAGCTATTTGACTTACTCTCTATTTGACCATGGGAAAACCAGTTGACTTCTTTTGGTTTAGTTTCCTCATGTAAAAAGAGGGAGCAGGAGAGGGTTGGACTAGAAGACCTCAGAGGTCCCTTCCAGCCATAAATCTCTGACCAATGACTTAGCTTCAAATCCTAGCACTGTTACTTACTCCCTATGTGACCTTGGGCAAGTCATTTATCCCGTAAGCCTTATCATCTCATCTATAAAATGAAGAGGGAGAACTAGATGACCTGAGTTCCCTTCCAGATCTAAATGCAGTCATACCATGACCCTTGGGGAAATAACCACACACACACACACACACACACACACACACTCCCATGACCCATCCCTTATTATGCCTTTGTCTTTCTTCTCTGAATCGTGGGGGTCCCTGCCTATATCCTGGTGATTTTCCTGCTCCAAAATTAGTTTCCTGGTTAGGCTAGAGGATGTTTTGATACATCCACTCTGCACATAGGAGGCATTTAATCAATGCCTTTTGTTTTTCTCTTGGGTTATAGAAGTGGGAGACTTCCTCTCCTTGGATCTGGGTGGCACCAATTTCCGGGTAATGTTGGTAAAAGTAGGAGAAGGAGAAGAGGGTCAATGGAGTGTGAAGACAAAACATCAGATGTACTCCATCCCTGAGGATGCCATGACAGGCACAGCAGAAATGGTAAGGCCTGGACTGGGATGAGACACCTACTCAATTGTGGCCTATCCTAGGGCCTTAGGAGTGAAGGGGAGCACTAGGGCCAAGGGCATAACCAGGGATGACCTTGGATCTGCCCCCAAAAACTAATAGTCTCACAGGAGCACTGCCTCTATTGGGAAAACTCTCCTAATTCCCCAAAGGAATGGCTTGAGAAAGAGAACTCTGGGCTTGATTCCCAGTGAGTGTGGGTGGTCTAGACCCAAGGAACAGCTGCATAAAGGAGTTCACTGAACTGTAGTAGAAAGAGCCTGGGATTCAGAGTTAGAAGACTTGAATTGGAATCTAGTCTGGGCTATGACATTTTCCAACTAGGTGACTATTCAAACTACTTGACTTTTCTCAGTTTCCTCAACTGGAAAGTGGCAGCTAGGTGTAGGAGGGAAATGAAATAATACTTAAGCTACCTACCAGGTACCTACCTTTTACAAGGAAGGGACCTTATAAAATGTAAATGTCTTTGTAAATGTTCATTATTATCATGTTGACATTCAGCAGCCAGATACCAAGAACCATTTCTCAGTGTGTCTTCCTAAAGGGTGCCTTCCCTTCTGACAAGATACCTCAGCACTGATTCCATTCCATTCCATTCATCAAACATTTATTAAGTTTCTATTCTATACCAGGCATTGGCCTAGGCACTGGGGATACAAATATAAGGAAACAAACCAATCTCTGACCTCCTCTCTCCTGGGCATATCCAACAGATCTATAAGTCCATAAGTACAGAGTCATTTCAAGAGGGAGATAGTAGGATGTGACAGCATTAGGCCATGGTATTGTTGTTACTATTCCCTTCCTTTAGACTCTGCTCAGTTGAATGGCCGTGGGTGAGAGCACCAGTATATACCTTCTTCTCATATCCACCCCAGAGTCCTCTCCCAATGTGGAGTAGATTTCATCCCTGGGGACAAGGCTTGCCTTTGTTATGGGGCAGGTATGGCCTTCCTGTCCCATTGGGACTTATAGTGTCCTCTGTGTTCATGTCCTTCCCAGCTATTTGACTACATCTCTGAATGCATTTCTGATTTCCTGGACAAACACCAGATGAAACATAAAAAGTTGCCTCTGGGCTTCACATTCTCCTTCCCTGTGCGGCATGAAGACATTGACAAGGTAAATATTTGGACTGAGGTCCTCTGACCCCAACTCCAGCATCCTTTGGCCCCAGCTTCAGCATTCTTTTCACTACAATGTGTGGCCTGATATGAACAAGAAGTCTTTAAAAGTAGAAACAAATTGTTAGTAATCCAATGAGAACTTGTTCAAACTCTCTTTTAAAAAAATGTGAATCTCAGTCTGGCTCTTTTCTCAGTATCTCAGTGTTCTACTCTTTCTATACGATGGTGAGATAGTCCCTATTGTGAACTACATGAGGGATGGGTAATCTCTTGTTTTGTTTTGTTTTGTTTTGTTTTATTCCCTCCCTCCTACATTACAAGGTGTGTAGTTTGTTTGGCATGTAGTAGTCACTCAGGAAAGGTCTATTGAGTGAGTGCTCCCCTCCCAGGGGAATTTAAAAAAAAATTTTTTTTGACTAGGTAAAAGAGGCCGTTTTTTCCCCTAATTTCTTACCTAGCCTTAATCACTGAATGAGTGTTGCCTCAGCCAAACTGGGGCCTGGGAAAGACCTTAACTTAAAAAGGTCAAGGTCTCCCACTGCATCCAGGGCCATCTCCAGTCATCCAGATCTATATCTTGCTATTGGATCCAGATGGCTCTAGAGGAGACAGTGAGTCTGGTGACTTTGCATAGCCCTGCCTCACTTAAATCTAATTCACTTGCAAGTCATGACATCACCTTCCTGATGTCATGGTCCACTTTGGGAATGAAGGACAAACAACAACAAATAATTGGGTGAGGGAATGAATGAATTGGCATGTGTGTGTATATGTATATGTGTGTATGTATACATGATGTGAAGTTATTGAGGGTTCTTGGCAGGGGTCAGCTAGAAACAGGTTAAATGGACTCATGAGAACTTATTGTTAAATTTTCAGTGTGAGCATTCACACCTTGAAAGTCAGCAAAGAGTTAAAAGTACAGGCTTGATTTATTGCTTTGTTGATTGTGTAACTTAGGAAGGTGGTGAAAAATGTTAATAATGCAAATTAAACTTAAAAGTGTGTCCTGTATACATGTACATATATATGTACTGTATATGTTTATATACATATGTGTGTGTATGTATATGAGAGCTGGTTGTTAAACATTTACCAGCATACTACTTCTTCTGTGAGAAAAGCTGCTCATGTTATCTGTTTCTTGCCACCCTAGAATGTAGCTCCCAGTAGAGAAAGTTGTTCACAAGAGCTCCTCAAACTTCCAAAATAGTAAATAGTAATATATATGAATGGTCTTCCTTCTCCCCAAAGGGAATCCTTCTCAACTGGACAAAAGGCTTCAAAGCATCAGGTGCTGAAGGGAACAACATAGTCGGACTCTTGAGAGATGCTATCAAGCGGCGAGGGGTAAGATGGAAGCCTTGCTGTCTCTCCTCCCCATCCCTCAGTGTTTCTGGCCTATGAAGTGGGTGGCCTGCCTCAGCTCTGCTCATCCCTTTCAGGTCTCCCTCCTTTTCCACTGTTGCCTCTGAGGCTGGTGCGGTTGGGAAGAAAGGCCCTGACTTAGCAAGAGCCCTCCTCCCCCACCCCGCCCCATACACAGCAAGCCAAGTCATGGCAGTCCCTTATTCTTCCCTCCCTTTAGTCCTCCTTGGGCTCCCCATCTCCTTATGCTTGTGCTTCTTGGCAGGACTTTGAAATGGACGTTGTTGCCATGGTCAACGACACAGTGGCAACAATGATTTCCTGCTACTATGAAGATCGCCAGTGTGAGGTTGGCATGATTGTTGGTAAGAAACCCTTTCTGTACCCCATGTACTTGAGGCTTAAATAATCAAATACTTTTCAAAAGCTGGAAGAGTCCTCTGAGAATCACCTTTCACACCTAGTGCTATGTTCAGTTCTTGAGTTAGAAGAACTAAACAACTCTCCTACTTGTTCCTACCTTTCTGTTTTATTCTCTGCTCCTTTCACACGTTATACACTCTAGCAAACTAGACTGCTGGCTCCTTTCCCCAACCTCATGCTGCCCCTTTCCCCACTTTGTGCATTTGTGTAGGCCACCTCTCATGCCTGGAATGCACTCCCTCCACATCTCTCTCTTACTGAGATCCTGCTGGTCCTTCAAGGCCCAGCTCAGACGTTACTTCCTCCAGGATGGCTTTCCTGATCCCTCAGTTGAAAAGTGGTGTCTCACCCTCAGATTTTCTTAGACCGCTTTTAAAAATCATAGGATTTAGAGCTGGAAAGAACCTTAGTGATCACCTGATCTAACCTTTTTCTTTCACAGTTGTGGAAATTAAGGCGCAGAGGGGTTGAGTAGGTTTGTCCAAAGTGATTCAGTTGTGTCAGAGCCTGGTTTTAAACCCGTCTTCTGGCTCCAAATCCACTGCTAGTTCTACTAAACCATGCTGTCCCACTTAGGCTCTCCTTTGCCCTGACTCCTTTCGGGGTGCATTATACTTATGAGTGTTGATTTAACTACCTATTAGATTGTAAACTCCTTGAGGGCAGACAGAGTTCTTTTTGTCTTTGTATCCCCAGTGCCTAGCACAGTGTCTTGCATTTAGTAGGTGCTTACTAAGTGCTTCTAGAATGAAACTGAGCTTTGCTGTGCTTTAGAGGACTCAAGTCATTTCTCTTTTTTTTTTTTTTTTTTAGGCAGTTGGGGTTAAGTGACTTGCCCAGGGTCACACAGCTAGTAAGCATTAAGTGTTTGGTCTGAGGCTGGGTTTGAACTCAGGTCCTCCTGATTTCAGGGCTGGTGCTCTATCCACTGCGCCACCTAGCTGCCCCTCAAGTCATTTCTCAAGTAGATAACAATACATACAACTGGATTTTTGAACAAATTTTTTCCCCAACAGATTGAATGTGCCAAGCCCACATTTTCCCAAATGAGGGAGGTTAATTAAAAGTAATAATGATAGTTCATGCTAGCTCAGAGTCATAACTAAGGCAAGGTGACTGGGGCTTTTCCAGAGGGCACCCAATTTAGTGGGTACTCATAGCACTCAGTCATTCCGCAACTTAGTTAACAAGACTAAGGAATTAAAATAAGAAACTATTAGACAGTGGGCTGGGTTGACCTCCTCAAATACCCACCTATGCACAGCAACCCCTCTGGAAGTACCAGGAGTCTCTGTCTCCCTCTCTCATTGCAACCTCTGTTGTGACCTCACCCATAGCACCTGGAGTCCTGGTGTGGATCTCTGTTTCCCACTCACCATATCCCAAACACTAAGTGAAGGCTCACTGTGTGATAATTGACCTGGACATAATTTCCTAATTCCTGATTCTTAATTTTTAATTCTTCTGCTTTACCTGAAAAATTTTGCCTTTCTCCAACTCAAACAAGCCTTTGAAGGAGTTGAGTTTTAGACTGTGCCTATGGTTGTAGTCAAAATAAATATATCACTGAATGTTTTTATTATTATTATGAATGATTATTATTATTACTTGCATTTATCTAGTGCTTTAAGATTTGTAACTGTTTTATACACATTGGTCAACCTGTGTTAGCTTAACCCTCCTAGGCCATCACCTCTTATTCAACTCCACATTTAGAACCGTGTAAGAATTTTCTTAGGGGTAATATTAGCTCATATTCAATCAAGAACAATTAATTCTGAAAAAGATGAGTTACTTATCTCAGCCTAGACTTTTTAAGTCTATGGATTGGCCCTGGTTGTTTCAAACCAATGTTCCAGTCAACTTAGAAACCATACCCCAGCCACTTGGACACCCTTTATTCAGAAGATTTTCCTCATCAAACCATCTTCAAGCTATCTCCATCATCCATTTGAGTATCTAGGAAACTGAGTTCTAGTCTGTTTGAACTTGCATAAGCTTTTCTGAAACACACTATTATTATCTGTTCTTTTCTCTGGAAGTTTGACCAAGGGCAATAAAGTTTGGGACTGACCTATGCATACCCTAACCTTTCCCCTTTTTTGTACTTCTTCCATCTACTTTCCTTTCTGACCTTGATCTGTTAGGTTAGCTATGAGAACCACAGTAAAACAACTCCATCCAGTCCCCCAGAGGAAGCAGTCTTGGGGGATCACATTTGTCTCTACCTAGAGCTTAGCAGAGTACCTGGCACATAGTAGGCCCATGATAAATGCTTTTCAACTTGACTGACCTGTGCAATGCCAAAAACATGTGATCACTTAGTGTTGTCAATTCAATCCAACAATCATTTATCTAGCCCCTACTGTGTACTGGGTACTAATACTAGGAATATAAAGTAGGAAATGAAAACAGTCTCAGCCCCCCTGTCACTTTTCCCCAACCAGGAGTTTTTTTTCTATTGGATGAATAGTCATCATCACAAGTGGATTCCCATCTCCAGCATCCCTGAGTGGCTCTGCTCAGATTGATGTGAATGAATGAAAGAAAAAGCATTTATTAAATGTGTGTGTGTGCCAGGCACTGTGCTGAGCCCCAGGGATTCGAATACAAAAAGAAAGACAGCTCTTACCCTCAAGGAACCTACATTTTAATAAAGGAAAACCACAGTATAAGGGAACAATGATTAGAGAAGGGTATATTGGACAAGGGAATCAGAGAGATGGTGAGTTAAGCCAGGCCATTCATTAATTGATGTAACCTTTCTGGTAGTGGTTTTATTATGTTTCCAAGGCTAGGAAGGGGCAGGTGAGGAGAGCAGTAGTCTGGGAATAGAGCATGAGAATTACTGGAGAACTGGGCATAGTAAATTGGTAGCTCCAATTTGGGTAGGGGGTGAGAGTGGAGATTGGGAATTAGACTCATCCTCAGGGAGAGTTCTGTGAGAGAGGCCAGGATACAGGCAGGAATTCCAGCCCAGCCATACCACTACCGTTTTCTTCCTTTTGTTGATGAATAGGAGTATGGGAAGTGTTCCTCAGGTAAGTCAGGGTGAGCATGAGAAGAGAGGGAAGACCAATACTGCACTTACAGGAGCCTCAGGGAAGCTTGGATGAGCGAGAAAGGAGGAAGGAGGTTATGAAGGCAGCTGCTCTGGGGTAAAGAGGCAGCCGAGAGAGGACTAGGGAAGCCCTAGGTGGGCCTTTCAGGGAGCCTGACCTTGTCTTCAAACAAGGAAAAGCTTCCAAACCCTGAAAGCTGTCCAGAAGGGGAATGTGCTGCCCTCCAGGGAGATGGATCCCTCAGAGCATGGCTGGCTAAATTATCAATCAGTTAGCAAGCATTTGTTTAGAAACTTCTATATTCCAGGCACTGTGCTAGGCACTAGAGATGAAAATTCAAGACTGAAACAACACCTGCCCTCAAGAAGTTTGCATTCTAACAGGATATGATATAACAGAACAGAACATAATATAATACATGCAGGCAGTGATGTGCTACTAAATGCTTAACAACCAGCTCTTTAGAAAATAAAAGTTCTAATACACTTTTAAGTTTAATCTGCATTATTAACATTTTCTCCATCACTTTCTTAAATCTAGACAATCAACAAAACAGTAACTTAAGTCCTGATTTGTGACTTGCCTATTTCCAAGGTATAAGCGCTACTGCTGAAATTTTAACGATTGGCTTTTATAGAGTCCGTAAGAGCTGGCTCCTGCACACCCCTGCACATAGGGGAACAGTTGCAAAGAAGGAAGTTTTGAGCTAGGCAGCCTCAGGGCAGTAGATTGTCATGTCCTGTCTGCTAAGGGCGATACTATTGATGGGAATATTGTTCTGAGTGCAAAAACAAAAGGAGGAGGAGAGGCGGTGTGAGAGTGGTGGCAGGGCAGATGATCAGGTGCTTCGTGGGATGGTCTCATGAGTGGCTGAATGGGACGTAAAGCATAGGCTGCGGCAGGCCAGATAGAGTGGGCTAGAAAGAGGTGATGCTTCTTGCCCCCTTGCTGAGTGACATTGTTTTGTGAGAGGTATCAAGAGTGCCCTCGTCTCCGTTTCCCCCTCTCTTACTCCTGGGAATGCCCAGAACTCAGGTGTGCTTCTCTGATCACACAAGGTCTCTCTGTCCCTAGGCACAGGGTGTAATGCCTGCTACATGGAAGAGATGGAAAACGTGGAACTGGTGGAAGGGGATGAAGGCCGGATGTGTGTGAACACCGAGTGGGGAGCCTTTGGGGATGCTGGGGAACTTGACGAATTCCTGTTGGAGTATGACCGGGTGGTAGACGAGGCCTCGCTGAATCCCGGTCAGCAGCTGTAAGGACCCCGTGGGCACAACTCTCTGATTCCCAAGCTGCTCGTCATCTTCCCCATTGCAGTCATGTGACTGCTCCTCTCCCCTGCGGCCCCCTCCCTCAACCTTGCCCTGCCTAATTGTCCCCTCCTCTCAACAGCAGTCCACCCTGCACTATCTAGTGTAAAGTTAAATTCTTTACTTTGATATTGCTGAGTGAATTCCTGTCATATCATCTTTGTGAATGTGCACTGGAACATGGTCTCATGCATTTAAATTTAATGCAATAATAACGCTGTCTTTAAGGAGACATAGGAATCTCTCCTTATACGTCCCTTTCTTTGCTTCCTTCTGTTCCCCTCTCCCACCTTCTCAGACTTTTCCTCTCCTCCTTGAATTGACGTTTGTTTTCCAGGGACAGGTGATAACTCACATGGGGGAAAGTGTCTAATGTATGTGTACAACCCCTCACTGCCTTACTAAGAAACAACATGAGGGTCTTGGGACGCAGGGCCAGAGATAGGATATGAAGGCCTCATACTCAGGCCTGGCTGTCGGGACAAAGCTATCTGGCTCCTAGAATGGAAGCTTACTAAGGCCCCAGGACAGTTAGGATGACCCCTATGTCCTTGAACATATATCACAGCAGAGTTGGACAATTCCTAAAACTGTAGGGTCTAAATGCTTTAGCATTTGAGAATGAGAATTAAATTTTAAAACTTTAAAGCAAAAAAAAAATCATCCAAATCTATCTATACAAGATGACCTTGTAGTCCTAATACTATGCAGGAGCTGTCATGAAATTCATCTGTGTGGAAGGGGCTTTTCTGTGTTATCTAACCTTCTGTTTTCTGTCACCTCTCAAGTACACCAGACCCAGAGATAATGATCTTGTTTTTAAATAGTTCCTGGGGAAGAAGGGTTTATAATCTCCCTTTTGTACTACAGATTAACCACATTTTGGGGCAAGAAGGGGAGACCCCAGAAATCATCTGTCACAGCCCCCTCATTTCACGGAAACCAAGGCCCAGATCCCACAGTTAGGCACTGATAGAGCCGGACCTGGGTCTCCTGACACCCAGTCCAGGGTTCTTTCTTGTTTTTGAAAAAAAAAAAGTGTTATTAATGCATTTAATGATAAGTGATTATTTCTGCATAATCCTCTCTATCCCAAGTAGAACCTCCCTTGTCACAAAGATGTACAGTAAAATACACCACACTGATCCAGGACCACATGTAACAGTCCATGCATGCCTCATTCCCTAATATACTCCATCACAACCGTGCTTTTTAATAAAGAAAAACAGGAAAGTAGAACCAATGAATGTAGCAATCATGTCTGTCCACATCTGCTTCCAGTGTTCTTTGTTTTTCAGTTTTTTAAATTGGCATTTTTTTTTGCATTCTTTCCATTATGTTCCCTCTCTAAATTATTTTCCTTCCTTTCACAGATGAAGGAAACCAGCACACATGTCCATACTATGTCCTTTTCATGAGGCCAGTGGCTAGTCATACCCATAGATGCGTACATTCACATGGAAGGTCACACTGCTCTAGTTCTCCAGAAGCCATTGTGAGGACCTCTTGAGCATGCAGGTCTAGACATTTAGATATTTAAGCTCTGTGCCCACTTTGGCAGTGCATATGTTAAAATTGGAATGATATTAAAAGATTAGCATGGGCTCTGTGTAATGATGACATGCAAATTTGTGAAGCATTCCATATTTTTAAAACAAACCGAAAAAAGCTATTTGAGTAATTTTCCTATGGCATTGGCCCAGGGCTGTGGTGCTAAGGCCCAGGGAAATGAGAAAAAGGAAGGGCAGAGATAGCCAGACCTGGGCTCATTTGGATATGGTGTGACTGTCTCTTGATGACCAAGGCTCTCCTTTATCCACACAGTTATGAGAAGATCATCGGGGGCAAGTACATGGGGGAGATCGTGAGGCTGGTTCTACTGAAGCTGGTGGATGAGAATTTGCTCTTCAACGGGGAAGCATCTGAACAGCTGAGGACCCGAGGGGCCTTTGAGACCCGTTTTGTCTCCCAAGTGGAGAGGTATCACACACCACCACGTGCTCAGTCATCCTGTCCCCTCAGGCCCCACAGGGTACAGTTTCCCAGGATAGGAGCCCTCCTTCCAGACAGACCTCTCTTTGGCTAACTATCTCATAGCCCCTGCCCTGGAAGGGTGCTTGACATGTTTTCAGTTCATACTCAGCATCTTAGATTTTAGGTAAATCTGAAATAAATTCCCACCTCTCATACACTTGACCCATAGTTAAGCTATCACTAACCAAATGACCAACAAGCACAAAAATAATACCTCCCATAATAGATAGAAGGCTGATCTTAGAATCAAGAAGACCTGGATTCAAATCCTGCCTCTTATACACACTTGCTGTGTGACTCTGGGCAAGTCATTTATCGTCTCTGTGCCCTAGGCAACAGTCTAAGATGATGAGTTAAAGACCAGTTGCTAATCTATACCAGTGGAGGCAATTTCCACACTGGGAGTTCCCTCAAGTATTTAAATGCTCCATGTGGATCTATGGTCTCATTTATGTGGGTATTCCTTCCAGTGATAAAGATTGAAATCCATTCATGCCTATCTATCCTGTGGGATTCTCTAGTCCATATCTATCTATAAATTCAACATGGTAGTCCACCCAATGTGTAAAGAACCTTTTAACTTTCTCTTGACATCTCAAGAAATACCACAAGGACATTATGCTTTGGTATAAGGATGAGAGCTGTCCTTATACCAATAAAATCACAAGTCCAGATCAAGAAGACCATGTCTCCTCCTGCAAAAAAAAAAATACCCCCAAACCAAAAAACAAACAAACAAAACCCATCAGGTCAATTAGAGAGGTTTATTAACCCAGTTGGCCTTTCATTTGGAACTCAGCAGACTGAGTTCTGGGGTGGCTATTTGCCCCATCAGCCACATGCACACGCATGCGCGCACCCACACACATCCCACACTGTCCAAAGCAGCAGATTCATCATATGCTCACTTGAAAGGCCCTGCTCTTCGCTTCCTGTTTGGTCACCCAGTATGGATAGCTCTCCAACACTGCCCTCTATCTCCCTTCCCATAGCGATTCTGGGGATGGAAAGCAGATCTACAACATCCTGAGCACCCTGGGACTGCTCCCCTCCATGACGGACTGTGATATTGTGCGCATGGCCTGTGAGAGTGTTTCTACCCGGGCAGCCCAGATGTGCTCAGCAGGGCTGGCAGGTGTCATCAACCGAATGCGGGAGAGTCGCAGCGAGGAGGTCATGAGGATCACCGTAGGTGTGGATGGCTCCGTCTACAAACTGCACCCCAGGTGAGGCCCTCCTTGGTCCCACCCCAGAGACACTGATGGTGGATGTTCTCTGGACCGAATAAATAGATACAACCATTCCCAAACCACTGACAGTCCTGAGATGAATTAGAAATTCAAGATCCAAGGCTGTTAAGCAGCAGGAAAAGGGTGAACCAGACATGTAAAGTTCTCTCAATCTGCAGTCTAACCTTGGTGTCTTGAGGCTATGGTATTCAGTTAGAAACCTTTTCTAATATTTCAGTATTTCAGAAGGAATCTCCCATGTGGAAACTGTTTCCATTAGAGTCATAGAGAGTCACCTAGGGCCCTAAGAGGATAAAGTGAAGGTAAGGCCGTGGTAATATAGCTAGGGTGTCAGAGGCAAGATTTGAACTTGGGTCCTGCTGACTCAAGGGCCAGCCATCTCCAGCCTTGTGCCTCTTCAGATCACCTTGGGAATCTCTACTGGGCTCATAAAGTGAGACTAGAACCCCTACTTCCTGAATTGAGTCTAGAAGGCTCCCTTGCCACCCTATAGGGGCAGGTCAGCATTCCTCTACTTCCCACTTCCCACATCCCACATCAATCATTTGAGCCTCTTTGTCAGGGCACAGGTTCAGAACTGGACCCATCCACTGTCTGCACTCTCTTCTAGGCTACAGAATAATACTAGACCAGAAGGACTGGAGTAAGGCTTTCCAGTTAGTCAGTCAATAAGCATTCCTAAAACACCTACTATGTGCCGGGCACTGTGCTAAGCCCTGGGGTTCAGGCAACAGTGTTTGGTGAAGGGAGAAAGGAAAGAAGAAAGTGGCAAGCTGTGGCTTTAATTCCATTTCCACATTCTGGGAAGGTTCAGACCTTTCCCTCCCCTTATTCCTTCCTGATCCTTTCTACCCCCTCCCTCAGTCTAAAGTGACAGAGAGGGGCAAGAAGCCTAGTTGAAGTCAAACTTGTATAACATTTTAGCTTCTCTACAACTTGATGACTTTGTGTGGTTCTGAAGCCAGAGGAACTGAGTTTAAATCCTACTTCTGATGCTTAATATATGTATGATCTTGGGCAGGTTACTTGACATTCCTGAGCCTCAGTTTCCTCATCTGTAAAGTGAGGCTGTTGAGCTAGATGGTCCCAGAGGTGCTTTCCAGATCTATAAGCCTTTGAACCTCTCTGGGCCTCAGTCAGTTGATAAGTACTTACTAAGTACTTATCTATAAGTACTTACTAAGTACTGCTCTGTACATGGGCTCTGTGTTAAGTACTGAGAATCAAAAAAAAAAAAAAAAAAGAAAGGCAAAAAATGGTAATTCACACTCTATTGGAAGGGACAACAACTATATACAAACAAGATATATACAAGATTAAATGGAAATAATCAATAGAGGGAAAGCACTAGCATTAAGGGTAGCTAGGTGGCACGGTGGACACAGTGCCGGGTCTGGAGTCAGGAAGACTTATCTTCAGATCTGACTTCAGATACTTAATAGCTGTGTGACCCTGGGCAAGTCACTTAACCCTATTTGCCTCAGTTTCTTCATCTGTAGAATAAGTTGGAGAAGGAAATGGTAAACCATTTCAGTATCTTTACTGAGAAAACCCCAAATGGGGTCACAAAGAATTGGACATGACTGAAAAAATGACTGAACAGTATCATTAAGGAGGATCAGGAAAGGTTTCTTGTAGAAGGTGGGATTTTAGTGGAAACTTGAAGGAAGCTGGGGAAGACAAGAAGTGAAGATAAGGATAGAAAGAGAATTTCAGGCCTGAGGAATAGCCAGTGAAAGTACACAGAGCCAGAAGATGAAATGTCTCACTGGAGAAACAGCAAAGAAGCCGGTCACTAAATTGTGTAGTACATGGGGGAAATAAGGTGTAAGAAGACTGGAAAGGTCAGAGGGGGGCAGATTATAAAGGGCTTTGAACGCCAAACAAAAGATTTTATATATTGTGATAGTAGCTGCTGGATTTCACTGACTAGGAGGGTGACATGACCGGACTTGCACTTTAAGATTAATTTGACAACTGAGTGGAGGATGGATGGGAGTGGGGAGAGACTTGAGATAGGTAGACCAACAAGCAGGTTATTGTAATAGTCTAGGGAAGAGGCAAAGAGGGCCTCTACCAGGATGGTGGCACTGTCAGAAGAGAGACAAGATATTACAAAGGTAGAATTGATGGGACTCGGTAACTAATTAAATTTGTGGAGTGAGAGTGAGGAATTGAGAATGACACCTGGAAAGTATGGTGGTGCCCTTAATAGGAAAATTAGAGGGGATAATTTGGGGGTGGGGATGAGAGTGGAAGAAGACAATGAGTTCAACTTTGGACATGTTGAGCTTAAGATGTCTATGGGACAAAAAGTTTAAGCTGTCCAATAGGCATTTGGAGATGTGAGATTGAAAGTTGAGAGAGAGGTTAGGGCTGGATAAATAGATCTGGGAATAATCAGCATGGAGATGATAATTGAATCCATAAGAACTGATGAGATCACCAAACAAAATAGTATAGAGGTAGAAAAGAAGAGGGTCAAGAATAGTTAGTAGGCATGACATGGATGAAGATCCAGTAAAGAAGACTGAGAAAGAGTGAATAGAAGGAGGAAAACCAGGCAAGAGTAGTTTCTTAATATTTAAATGAGAGAATTATGGGAATAGAAATAGCATATTAGGACTTAGAAGAACATAGTTTCCTTAAGTGAAGCTCTAAACATGAACCTGAAGGAACAATGGTAAAGAAAACCAACGAGAAATCAGCTGTAAATATCTCTATCCAGTCCAAGACTGCACAAAAAGATTGCCAGAATTTTATAGAAGTACAGACGATAGACAGGCTACCTAAAGAGAACTTTAGAAAAATTAGATATGATAGCTCTCTGGCAATTAGTTAATGGTAACTAAAAGGAAGTTACATATTTCTCAAGTATTTGTGACACCTTTATAAAAATTGACAATGTGTCAGGGCACAAAAACCTTACAAACAAATGCAGAAAAGCAGAAAAGGATATAAAATGTAAAAGAGAGAATTGAATTAGATGGCCTTTTAGGACCTTCCCAGTTCTATATCTATGGTCCTATCATTAATATCCCCACTTTGTGCCTACTTTGAGGGCTGATTCAGAGCAGAGGGAAGGTGAAGGCCCTGCGTACAGGAGAGGGGAGGGTTGTGGATGGGGGCTGCTGAAGGACTCACCTTTTTGCTCTGCCAAGGGTCTTCTCACCCAGTATTAACTACTCCTCTCTTGTGTCTACACAGCTTCAAACACCGATTTCACGCTACTGTGCGGCAGCTGGCACCCTGTTGTGACATCACGTTTATCCAGTCAGAGGAGGGCAGTGGCCGGGGTGCTGCGCTTGTCTCTGCTGTGGCCTGCAAAAAGGCCTGCATGCTTAACCAGTGAAGGCAGGTGTGGCCCTTACCTGCCTAGGCATCTGCCAGGGGCAGTGTTCACAGGAAGCTGCTTCCTAGCTCCTTCAGCCCTTGGTCCAGGACAGAACTTCTGCCCCTTCCACTTTGAGGAGGCTGGGCTTTTGCTGATAGCAAGTGCCGTGGAAGATATACTCTTGGGGGTTGTTCCTTCTCCCAAAGGAGGAAGCTGAGGGGTGCAGAGCAGCTTGTTTCTCTCCATGGATGTGGGACTTGAGAGCCTGTGGTATCTATGTGCCGTACTCAGCTCAGGACCAGGGGGAAAGACCTGGCAGAGAAGGAATGGCCTCAAACAGATTTGTAACTAGATTTGCGTCTGGATCAAGGGAAAGGAAGATGCTGGGGGGAATTCACTTGGGGTGCAGCCATCGGGGGAGAAATATACTCCAGGGCACCACAAGATTTCTATGCTGCTGAAGGACTGACTTGTACTGGGTGTCAGTAGGTGGCACGGGGGACACTAGAGGCCAGAGTTTAGCCAACAGAGGAAGAAAGTATGCCCTGGGACAGGTGCCTTGGGGCAAAATCTTTGTAATTCCTCTCTAGTTAATAGATCTGTCCTTAAAGAATGACCTCCTACACAACTCCATCCAAGCCCACCAACATAGCCAGGACATTGTGTCTCCCTCCCCCAGTGTCCTATCCTCTCTTCCAAGCTGGTAGCCAGGGGCTTAATTGAAACCTAGTAGTGGCTAAGGATGGTCTATTCCTGTAAGATGGTGGGTGTGGCTTAGCCTGATCCTAGGGATTCTAGTTCTCCTGATGACACCACAGCCAACTTCCTTTTTAATAGCTGACCTGTATATGCTTGCTGCTCCTATCAGGGAAAGCTCCTGGATCCCTGGCATGGCAAGTCAGCTTCACTATAACCATCCAGACCTTGCCAGTCTGCTCCCCACTAGGGTCACTAGTACTCAGGAGCATATGTATATCAGCCCTGGGGTTGTTTGGGGCAGGGAGAGTCTGTATGGGCATAACCTAGTCTATTTGTGCCATTGAGAGAACCAGAGACCACAGATTCCCTGAATCTTCAGGCAAGTTGGCATTCACGTGGGTGGTCCTTGGTCCTTTTTCTCCTGGGAAATATACCCAGTAATACAAAATGAAACTGAACCCCACCAAGAGGGAAGAAGTCATCTAAGACCTTCCCCCTGACCCCCACCACCCAAGCTTGGCAAGTCAATTGAGCCATACAGCCTCATGAGGTATCCCTGCATGCTAAAAACACATACCACCTCATAACCACAACAGAAGACACAAGGCCCTTCCTGCCTCTCTCCTGGCAGGGGAGCCCGCCTAATCTTCCTAGGGCTCTTATTGTAAGAGTCCTTCCCCAGTCACTCTCCAAAGGAAGGCTCTGGAGCCAGGCGTTAATACTGGTATCTGTAGATTGTATACCCATTGAACCATGAAGTGCTGAGTGTCACAAACACACACACACACACACGTAAAGCCAAGCCCTTCCTTTTCCACATTGTAAAACCAGCATACTCATCACAAACTCACCACAATCCTTTAATTCCTTCCCTGATTGTCTTTTTATTTTTAAATAAAGAAAAATTTGAAATATGGCATCTTGGGTCAGTTCAATGGTGATGGTTTCATAAATATGCTTACTAAATAACGTATGGGGAGATATTTTAATATAATTTAACAGCTCATATATAGCTTATGGAAATTCTTCCCTTACTAGATCCATACCCCATCCTACCCAGTTTCACCCATGGGCCACTCTTAATATGGGTAACTGTCCCAGGCTAGGGTACTTTATAATAATAATATCTGATATTTGTATAGCACATTAATGCTTGCAAAGCACTTTCCTTAGAAGAACAGTTTGTTAGGGATAGCAAAGGTATTATTTTCTCCCATATAGCAGATGAGGAGATGAAGGCCCTGAGAAATGAAGACTTTGGCCAAGGTCATACAGCTAGTAAGTGGCAGACCCAGGGCTAGAAGCCAGCTCTTCTAAGTCCAAACCCTGTACTCTTTTCACTACATTATGCTGAGCATATAGATCTGGGAATTATGTGAGTAGAGATAATAATTAAACCCATGGGAGTTGATGAAGTCACCACGAGAGTAATTGTATTGGGAATATGAGGACCAGGACAAAGCCTAGGGAAACACCCTCAGTTATGGGGAGGGGGCTTGATGTGAATAGTAAGATAAAAAAGGAGATGTGTAAAGAGTGGTTAGACATACAGCCCAAGGACCAGGAGAGAGAAATAGTGTTGAAAAAATCCAGAGATGAGAGGAGGGTGGTCCACAATACGAAATGCAACAGCGAGGCAGCCAGAAATTGAAGCCAGTGCCTCTCACTATGGGACTTTTTTATTTCTCTTAAGAGATGAAGGATGAAGATTGAGGGAAAAGCCATCAAATTATGTCAATAGTAACTTTGGGAAAAGTAGATTCAGTTGAGTGATAGGTTCCAAATCTCGATTTCAAAGAGCTAAGAAGTGAATAAGAGGAGAATTAGAGATAATGAAGCCACTTGGGTGAAGTGAAATTAGGACAGTTTTATTTTATTTTGTTTTTAAGGATAGAGGAGACTTGAGTCATATTTGAAGGCAGGGAAGAAACCATTAGATAGGGAGAAGTTGAAGATGAGAAAGAAAGAGGGGATGATTGAGGAAGCTATCTGCTGGAGAAGACTGTAACAGAAGATAGGATCAAGGGCACATGGAGAGGGGTTGGCCTTGGCAAGAATGGCCATCTTATCATCAGAGACTGGAGAAAAAGAGACAGCATGATGCAGTAGAAAGTGTTGGTTTTGGAGTCAGGGGTCCTGGGTTCAATTCCTGGCTGTTACTTCTGAAACCTGAGTCACCTTGGGCAAATGACTCACTGGGAGTTGGTTTCCTTATTTGTAAAATGAGAGGGATGGACTAGATGGTTTTTGAGGTCCCAGCTCTAAAACCACGATCCTATGAGAAGAGAGTGGGGATGATTTCAGGGGGTTTTGAGATGAGTGGGGAAGAAAAGGAGCTTACTCCAAATAGCCTCAATTTTCTTTGTAAAATAAGAGTCTAGATGCTCAGGTGAGAGGGCATGGTTGAGGGAAGGGGTGGTGTGAGAGACTTGAGGGAGGAATAGCTTCTGTCGGGGGGCAGGGGGGGAGAGATAGGAAATCTACTAGGGAAGAGGAGGAGGAGTATTCTCTTGCTGTGGGAGGAGCCCAGGTGAAATTGGATAATATGAATTTGTGGTTCCCAGTCAGCAGGGTTGTGTGACTTCTTCCCGTTCTATTTAGCTGCAGAAGTGGAGGAGGCCCATGGTGGGAGTAATGCAGGGCTGGGGTTTGGCGAGGGATGAGCAGCAGTAATTCAAAGGGGTGAAGGATTCAAAAGTAGAGGACAGAGTGGAGTTGAATTGGTTAACTGGAGGGTAGGAACTGGGGAAGAGAGTAAAGTCAAAACAAAGGTAATGAATGGTCTGAGGAAGTACTCAGGGATGGAGGGAATGGAGGTTGTGATGAGATGAACAGAGGCGGGAAGGTACAGGAGAAAGACAGAGTGAAAGGAGATCATGGACGATAGAGCTTTTCATCAAGGATCAATTCTTCCATGCTTATAGCCGCTGCCTCCCAGGAACTTTATATCCTTGGATGTATTCTCTCCTGCCCCCTCAACCAAGGAAGGAGGCTGAGAGAAGATGTTTGCCCATGACATCATACCTGGAATGTTGTATTCAGCTTTGGGTAACACATTTTTGTCTTTTTACAAAAGTGACTAACAGAGGGGTAGCCAGGATGTAAAAGGGCCTTGAGTTCACACCTTATGAGGCGAGGTCGAAGGGAAATGCTTAGCCTGAAGAAGACAAGACTCAAAGAACAGGTGACAGCTGTCTTTAAGTACTTTTACATACAGAATCCCAGAATTTGAGAGTTAGAAGGAACTTCAGTGACATCTAGTCCCACCCACAGATGGAAGGAATCCCCTTATATAACATACCCAATGAGTGGCCATCTAGCTCTGCTTGAAGACCTCCAAGAAGAGGGAGCCACCTGCTCGCAAGGCAGATCTAATTGTTAGGAATGTCTTCTTGAATTAAGCCTAAACTTTCTTGTTTGTAATATCTACCCATTGCTCCTAGTTCTGCCCTTTGAGACCAAATGGAACAAATATAGTCCTACTACTCTACTTACAGCCCTTCAAATACTTGGAGTCTTCTTTTCTCCAGGTTAACCTCCCCATTTCCTTCAACAGATCCTCAAATGACATGAACTCACGGTCTTTTACCATCGTGGTTGCCCTCCTCTGGACACTCTCCATCCTATCAATGTCCTTCCTAAACCATGGAACCCAGCACTGAACATAGTACTCCAGATGAAATCTGAAAAGGGCAGAATATAGTGAGACTGTCACTCGCCATTCCTGGAAGCTAATGCCTCTTACTGCAGCCCAAGATTGAATAAGCTTTTTTGGCTGCCATATTAGGCTGCTGCCTCATATTGAGCTTGTAGGCAACTAAACTCCTTCCCCACCCAGATCTTTTTCAGGGCTTCACACATCCCCCATGTTGTATTTGTGAAGTTGATTTTTTGTACCTAATTTTACATTTTGCAAGATTTTACATTTACCCCTATTGAGTTTCATCTTGTTGAGTCAGCCAAAATTTTAGCCTGGCAAGATCCCTTTGGATCCTGATTGTCATCCACTATTTCAGCTATCCCTCCTACCTTTGTGTACTCTACAAATTTGAGGAACATACCCCATATGCTTTTATCTGAATCGATGATAAAGAGGTGACATAGCACAGGGCCAAACACAGATCCATGAGATACTCCACTGGAGACTTCTTTCCATGTTGCTATTGATACATCCAACTAGTTTTGATCCCATCTGTTTGTATTACTGTTAAATCCATCTCTCTCCATCTTTTCCATGAGAATAACATGCTATTGTGCTGTAAGAAATGATGATGGAAATGGTTTCAGAAAAACCTAGGAAGTCTTAGATGAACTGATACAAAGTAAAGTGAGTAGACCAGAACAACTTATACAGTAACAGCAATATTGTCAAGATGATCAATTGTGAAAGACTCAGTAACCTTGATCAACACAATAGCCAATAATAATTCCAAAGGACTCATGACAAAATGCTATCTTACCTCCAGATAGAGAAGTAGTGGACTCTGCAGATTGAAGCATATTTTTTTTCTTTCTTCTTCTCTTTTTTTTCTGGAATATGGCTAATATGGAAATTTGTTTTGTGTGACTTCATATTTATAATGAGTTTTGTATTTCTTGCCTTCTTAGGGGACAAGGGAGGGAGAGAATTTGGAACTGAAAATAAAATAAAATTGAATTTTAAAAGAAAAATGACATGAGATACTTTATGAAAAGCTTCACTAAAATCTGGTAAAACTATACCCACAGCATCCCCTCCCATCTGCTAGTTTAATAATCATGTCAAAAAAGGAAATGAGGTGATTTTGGGAGGATCTGTACTTCATCAAATACATGATGGCTTTTGGTAGACACTGTTCGTCTTCCTACATACTTACCAACTCTCTCTTTGTTGCTCCTTCAATTATAGTTTGCAGACCTAGCTTTCTTTCCTCTTTTGAAAATTGAAACAACATTTGCCCCTCTTCAGTCTTATGGTACCTCTCCCATTTTCCATGATAATTCAACTAGGCTCAAAAATCACAAGTCAAATCAAGAAGCATTTATTAAATGTCTACTATGTGCTATTGTTCAGTCATTTTCAGTTGTATCTGACTCTTGGTGTCCCCATTTGGGATTTTTTTAGCAAAGATACTGGAGTGGTTTGCCATTTCCTTCTCCACCTCATTCTACAGATGAGGAAACTGAGGCAAACAGGGTTATGTGACTTGCCCAAGGTCACACAGCTAGTAAGTGTCTGAGGCGAGATTTGAACTCATGAAGATGAGTCTTCCTCGGCAGTCTATCCGCTGCACCACCTAGCTGCCCAGGGATGATAAAAAAAAAAGGTAAAAACAGTCCCTGCCCTCAAATAACTCACAATGGACAATTTTTGCAGTACCAAAGGATGTGTAGTTCATCAGGGCCAGATGGCTTGAATTCATCAAGGGCAGTTAGGTACTGTCTTACACTCTGTTTCCTTATCTTGGGCATCAACTCCCTGTTATTCTCCTTTGAAGAAAAAACAGAAATAAATACAATTTGAAAGCTCTGCCTTCTTTCTATTCAGTTATCATCATCCCATCAACCACTAATAATGGTCCTCTCTTTGATCCCAACCCCTTTTCTACCAATATGGATTAAAAAAAACCCCAACAACCCCTTTTGGGTATCCTTAGCCTCCCTCCACAGTTCCCTCGGTTTTTTTCCTGAGGCCTCAAACTCCTTTTTAGCATTTCTATTATGAATTGGATTAGATGGGGTTGAAACGCCTTCCAACTCTAAAATTCTGTAATTCTGTGTCCTTGATAAGGGAAGGGGAATGAGGGATGTGGTATACCCAGGATACCACAGAGTAATTCTTGGCTATAGATGGGAAAGGACTTGAATGATCTCAATCAGTAAGTCAGAATCACTCACTGAATGTCCACCCTGTGGGCAAAGCCCCAAACTAAGGTGTTAGGGAGAAGTGGCACCTAAGTGCCTAGTGTCTTTCTGCTCTAGGTTAGCAGTTGCTCCAAGAGTTAAAAACAGGAGTTCAGATGTAGTTGCCCATTTCCTAGACTCAATTCTTCTTGAGGTAGAGCACTCAATAGGACAACAGCAATAATCACACTAGACTTCATTATCCTGGCCACACTCAAAGTCAGGGACCATCTAGCACATCCAGAAACACAGAAGGGGTCTCCTTTCCCCTTCCCCAACCCTAGAGAAGTCCTGAAAACCTTTACATGAGGTCTTTCATAAGCTCTCTAGCTGCTAATGCCCCATTTTCTACAAATTTACTCTGCATATATTTTTGCTTATACAGATAACAACCAGTCAATAAATAAGCATTTATTAAACATTTGCTATGTAGTAGACACTAGGTGGTACAATGGATAGAGCACTGAGCCTGCAGTCAGGAAGATATGAATTCAAAGCTGGTTTTAAATACTGACTAGTTTTGTGACCCTGGGCAAGTCACTTAACCCTGTTTACCTTAGTTTCCTCATCTGTAAAATGGGAACACACTGGAGGAGGAAAGGGCCAATCGCTCCAGCATCTTTGCCAAGAAAACTCCACAGAGAAAGTCCATGGGGACATGTAAAGTCAGATACAACTGAATGATTGAACAACAACATAGCAGACACTGTGCTAAGAAGTGGGGATACAAAGAAAAGCAAAAATAGACCCTGCCCTTGAGGAGCTTACGTTCTAATAATATATGCTACTCCTCCCTTCCCTCTTCCCCCTATAAAATGTGAGCTCCTAGAAGAGAGGGACTATTTTATTTTTTACTTTGTGTAACCTGGAACATAATAGGTCCTTAACAAATGCTTATTGTTAAAATATTGGTTAAAATTGGTTAAAAGGTCAAATGGAAAAACTGTGTAGAAACTGCTTTTGCTCAATTCCATCTCCTTTGGGCCACTTGGTCCCATGTAAAGGAGGCAGGGGCCCTGGATTCTTCTTCTGCTCCAGGTTCCCATTCCTTCCATTCCTCTCCAGCACCATCACATGGGACCCACAGGTTGCTGGGCCTGTCTGCGGGGCTTCCCAACACTCTGACTCCTCCACGTCAGGGAGAGCCTGCACAGCTCCATTACCTCCAGGAACCAGGGATGCTGGTCATCATGATGGAATAATGTCGCAGAACTGCCCTGCGAGTCCCTGCAGGAGTCCAGGAGTCCCTCCCATCCTGGGCCCCTGGGTCCCAGAGTCCATTTACCTTCTTCTTCCATAGCCTGGTGGTTCTTAAATGGACCAGAGGGCTTGGTCCAGGGTGCCCAGCCCAAGACTGAAAGGGAACCCATAAGTCAGTCCCTCAAACCACCCTGGGCCACTAAGGGACTCCCAGGAGAATACTAGTGTCCAGATCCAATTTAGACTAAACCTGAGAGCCCCATCCTGTAATTCCTCTCTGTCTCTGGCCCCTGGCATTTTCACTGTTCTAAGTCTAAGGTGGGGAGGGTAAGGGTTGGGCGGGGGGGGGGGGGCCTGGGGGCAGCGGCTAAGTGGTGCAGTGGATAGAGTGCCAGACCTGGAGTCATCTTCCTGAGCTCAAATCTGGCCTCAGACACTTGCTCGCTGTGTGATGCTGAGAAAGTCACTCAACCCTGTTTGCCTCAAGTTCCCCATCCATAAAATGAGCTGTAAAATGAGAAGGAAATGGAAAATAGAGAACCACTCCAGTATCTTTGCCAAGAAAACCCCAAATGGGGTCACGAAGAGTCGGACACGACTGAAAAACGACAGAACAACAACAAGAAACTTAATAAAGGGATAATCCCGGCCCAACTGTGCAAGAGCCGGAAACTAGACCTAAAATTAATGGTTCAGGTGCTACTAAGGCTAGGATAAGGAAGGGAAAGAAGGGGGTGGGGGAAGAAAGAAGAAAAGGTATCTTTATTCAGCATCCGCTACAATGCTGTATGCAATCAGATTTTTAATTAACCAATGCTTGCTGCTGCTGCTGAAACCCTAACCCTGGTGCCACCTGGGCTATGTGAATAAAGAGAATAAGTGGCTGAATGGATCCATCCCCTTGGGAAGCCCAGAGAAAAAGCAGGAAGGAATGTGTCTGGAATCTGTCAGGGTCCTTATCTTGCTCTCTTGGCTCGTCAGGGACTTCCAAGTTTGGGACTGTCCTTTGTTTCTTCCCTTATTTGGCCCTCCAGGTGATAAGATGGATACATAAATGAGGGATTACAGAACAGGCAGCAGCAGCCAAGACATCCCAGCAGCTGGGAGATGGTGAGTCTGAAGGATGGGGAGGCGGGGTGAGGATGAGAGGAGGATGCAGGTTGGAGAGGAGAGCGAAAGAGTCGCCTTCACTTTGGGAGAAATTTAGGTTCTCCAGCTTCAAACTATAAGCAAAGGCCTTTCAAGAAGGTTAAGGGACAAAGGTGCCTCCCAAAGGTTGGGAGATTCAAACCTCATTTCTTCTTGCTGTCTAGCAAGCATGGGAGATGAAATGCCCTGCAGATGAAGATCATAGAAGAGAGACTGGTCAAATGGAAAGGGCCTCAGAGAGCATCCAGTATAGTCCCTTTGTTTTACATATAAAGAATGTGAGACTCAGAGAAATTTAAGCGTGGTCATGATTGGAAATATTCCCAGAAGCCACCTGGGCCTAAACCCAAGAAAAATGATCTCCAGGGATGAGGAAGGAAAAATAGAATGGACAGTCTTAGCAATATCCCTTAAAACTATGAAGGGCTGAGGAGGGGGATCTAGGGAATTGAGATTTCACAACCCTATCAATGGGATTGGGATCAGTGGGATCCCAGCTGCAGAGCCGCCTCCACCCCCAGCCCCTGGGGGATGTGGGACAGAAGGGAGGGCAGTTTGGACTATGGGCTTCCCTGTTCTAAGATCTGGGGCAGAAGATTCCTCTGAGACAGATATTCTACAGGCCAGCCGGAAGTCAGGGACTCGGGGGAAGGTGGCGGCTGCCAAGCAAGCCCATCGGGGATCTTCGAATGTCTTCTCCATGTTTGAACAAGCACAGATCCAGGAGTTTAAGGAGGTGAGCCCTCTAGTATTCCTATTTCTCCTTTTTCCTCCTGTTTCTCCTATATTCTCTATTTCTCCCTGAGGGAGGCTGGCACAGTGAAAAGTATTAACTCTATAGTTAGAAGACATAGGTTCAAAACTTGCCTCTGATATTTAATGCTTGTGTGACTTTGGACAAGTCACTTCATACCTTCCCGACCTCAATTTCCTCATCTGTAAAATGAGAGAGTTACGCTAGATGGTCTCTGAGGTTCCTTCCAATTATAGAGCTGTAATCCTATGATCTTTCCGAACTTCTTCCTCTCTTCTTCCTTATGCTAGCCCTAAAGTTTGAATCAACTGAGTGAAGGATTCCTGGATGTCCTCCCAAACCACTCCATCCCTTCCTTTGCTCCTGCTTGTCCCACTTAATCTGTGACCTGCCCATCCCCTCACCCATCCATCCTCCCTTGGACCCTCGGGGGAGGGAGGATCTGCCCCTCTTCCTTGGAGGCACGGTGAGTTCTATTCCTGACCCAGAAAACTGGGACCTCTCTGTCTCACAGGCATTCAGTTGCATTGATCAAAACCGAGATGGCATCATCAGCAAATCAGACCTAAAGGAGACCTACTCCCAACTGGGTGAGTTAGCAGGCTTGCACACTCCAGCCCAATACTTTCTCAATGAGGCAGGACCCACAGACCAGTTCTTCCCACAGTCCTCACCTCCTCCCTGCCCCTCCCCCAAAGACCAACTCCCTTATCTTCTGTAACTGACAAGGAGAAGTTAAGAATCGTGGATTCCATGGATTTAGAGCCTAAAGGGACTTTAGTGGCTGTCAAGTCCAATACCTTTATTTTACAGATGGGGAAACTAAGTCAGAATGAGGTTAAGTGACTTGCCCAGGCTCATACAGCTAGTAAGTATCTGAGGCAGTATTTGAAGCCAGGTATTGCAGACTCCAAATCCAGAGCTCCTTTTACCATACCAAGCCCGCCTCAGACTGGACCTGAATGTAATCATGTCTCATAAAACTGGCTCTTCTTCCTCTTTCCTCTTCTCCCTGCTGTCCCTCCTCACTCTCAGCTCATATCTATCTCCTACCCTCTTCTCACACCTCCCCTCCCCTCTCCTCTTCTCACACCTCTTCTCCCAGTACACTGCCAAAGCTCACCCTTTACCATTATCTCCGCCTCCTTTTCCAGAGCTCTGCCTTCTCTCCACTATACAATTTTACATTTCCCTCATAGCTCACACTCTCCCTGACTTTCTCATCCTCCTCAGACCTCTCCCAAAGCTCTCTCCTATTTTTTTTAATTTAAATTTAATTTTTAATTGATGGAATAAAACAAGCATTTCCATAACTTAGTACAATAAAAAGATGATTGCACATGAAACCCCAAATTCACTATGTACAATTTGTTATTTTTTAAAAACACACAACTGAGTTATGATGTAAATTTCCTTTTTTTTTCTTCCCTTTCCTTTTCTTTTCTCTCCACCCCCCAATCCCTGCCTCAGAGATGACTACCATCAGACACAAATAGGTGTATATATATGTAAATTTATTTTATATATACTTCTATTTATCAGTTCTTTGTCTTGATGTAGAATCTTTCTTATGCCTTTTATATTTAATTTGGGTACTTACAATAGTCAAAATAACTTATTCGCTCAAAGTCATTCTTAAACAATATTGCTGTTACTGTATACAATGTTCTCTTGGTTCTGTTCATTTTGCTCTTCATTATTTTGTGCAAGTATTTTCATATTTTTCTAAGATCATTGAGATCATAATTTCTTATAGCACAGTAGTATTCCATCTGGTGCCACCTCCAGTTGTCCTGATCTATATGTGGCCACTGGACCCAAATTGCTCCAGAGGAGACAGTGAGGCTGGTGACTTTGCACGGCCCTCCCTCACTTAAATCCAATTCACTTGCATGTCATGGCATCAACTTTCTGATGCCATGGTCCTCTTAGAGAAGGAAGGACCAACAACACTAACAAGTATTGCATCACTATCACTTACCACAACTTGTTCAGTCATTCTCCAATTGATGGGCATCCCTCAATGTCCAGTTCTTTGCTACCACAAAAAAAGCTGCTATAAACATTTTGGAACATATAAGTTCTTTTCCTTTTTTCCATATTTCCTGTTTTTGGAAATAGGTCTAGTAGTGGTATTGCTGGGTCAAAGGGTATAAGCAGTTTAATAACTCCATTTTTTTTTTTTTGCTCCTTTCTATTCTTTCCCATTTCCCCCCACCTCCCACCTCCAAAGCATGTCCTTTCTGCAATCACCATGGGCAGTGGAATGCTAGGTATGCCTGTAGGTTTGAGGGTTGGAGGAGGGGTAAATATCATTCCCTCTCTCACCTTCTGTCCACGCCCTCCTCCAGGAAGAGCAAACGTTCCTGAAGAAGAGTTGGATGAGATGCTACAGGAAGGCAAGGGCCCAATCAACTTCACAGTCTTTCTCACACTCTTTGGGGAGAAACTCAATGGTAAGGATTAGGGGAAGGGAGGAGGGGTCACTCAATCTTTCTTCTATACACTCCCAGTATTGCATAACATATTATTACACCTTCCACAACCATTTTCTGAGTCCCAGGGCCCTAGATCACAAGATGTTGGAGCAACATAATCCACCTTACCTCCTCCCACCCATAGGTTGGGTCATAAAATCATAGATTTAGACTGCAAGGGTCTTTAAAGATTATTTAATCCAGTCTTAACCTGGGATCCATGGATAGATTTCAGGGGGTTCATGAACTTGGATAAGAAAAAAATTACATCTTTGTTTTCAATAACCTCTAACTGAAATTTAGCATTTTCTTCAATTATGGATGTAGACAACAAACTGATAACCTGAGAAAGAATCCATAGGTTTCAACCAGATTATCAAAGAGGTCCATCACACAAAGCCTTTTCATTTTCTAAAGGAGGAAGCTGAGGCATAGATAAGGCATAGATAACTACAAAGCTGGTATCTGAGATAGGATTTGAAACCAGGTCTCCTTGATTCCAAGTTTCGGCATCCTATCCACCAGGAGCAGGGAACCTGTGGCCTCAAGGCCACATGTGGTCCTCTAAGTGGCCACACTTGAAGATCCAGAGGGTCACATGTGGCCTCGAGGCCGCAAGTTCCCCACTCCAGTGACCATACCTCTAATTTGGTCTAACTATGAATCATCCTTCAATAGCCAAGTGTATTCTGGGGCCATGGGCAGGACCTGGGAATATGGAACCTAATTGGAATCCTGAGTTCATCCTAGAACTGCCCTTGGTTGGTGTTGGGTCTGCCTCAGAAACCACCACTTACAGCAGATAACATTGAATTGGGAGTCAGGAGGCCCAAGTTCTGTTCCCAGCTCAACTGCTGACTACCTATGTGACCTTGGTCAAGTCATATAATCTCTTTGAGCATCCCATCAGTCAAATGAGGAGCTCAGACCAAATGTTCTCCAAGGTCCTTCCAGCTCTGATATTTAATAATGGAGGTGGAATGGGGTTATAGACAAAGTATGGGGCTGGAGTCAGAAAGACCTGGGCTTAAATCCTGCCTCACTTACAAATTATGTGATCCTGGGCAAGTCCCTTGCGTCTCTGGGACTCAGTTTCTTCATCTGTAAAATTAGAGGGTTAGGCTAAATGACCCTGGAAACCCCTTCCTATGATTCTGTGAAGAGAGAGTGGAGGAGTGACAAAGAATTTTGAGATAAATTGTCTCAAATCTCTTAGTAAATGTCCCTTCTGGTTCAAAATCTCAGATCTATGATCTCTTTATGAATGTGGGAGGGAGTATGGGAGTTGTTTTTACAAGGTCAGAGTTTATACTGTCTACTGCTCCTTAGGAACAGACCCTGAAGAATCCATCCTCAGCGCCTTTCGCATGTTTGATCCCAGCGGCAGTGGGGTTGTCAACAAAGAAGAGTGAGTATGAGCAGGAAAGAGCAGGGACCAAGTGGGACAGGAAGGCTGAAGCCTTAGGAGAAAGAGCTGCAGGCTCCAGGAACACTCCTGCCCTCAGCAAAAGTACAGGGAGGATGTTTTTCTGCAGCACCTTTCACTCCCCACTGCCCATATTGGATCTCCCAGGGCAGGGCCAGAGGTTCTCAGTGCCCAGAACCCAACCCCGATCCCGGGCCTGCTCTCCCCACCAATGAGCAATGCCCATGCTCTAGACAGAAGCTTTCCTCAGAATTCAAGAGTTGGAAGAAACATTGACAACCATCTAGTCTAACTCCTTCACAAAAGGAATTCCCACTCTAGCATACTGACAAAGTGGTCAGCCACACAGCCTCTGATTAAAGGCCTCCAAGGAAAGGAACCCCATCACTCCTAAGGCACTTCTGGACAGTTCTAACTAGTAGGAACTTTGCCCTGACCTCAAGCCTAAATTTGCCTTTTTAAAAATTCCATCCATCACTGCTGGTTCTGCCCCTCTGGAGGGACAAATGGAACAAGTCTCCTATCCATCCAAATTTAACTGCACCTAATGATAAATGATAAATCCCCTAAGGCTCTACCCTAGGATTTGTTCGTCAGTTGTTTCAGTTGTGTCCAACTCTTTGTAACCCCATTTGGGGTTTTCTTGGCAGAGAGAGTAGAGTGGGTTGCCATTTCCTTCTCCAGATCATTTTACAGGTGAGGAAACTGAAGCAAACAGGGTTAAGTGACTTGCCCAGAATCACACAGATAGTAAGTGTCTGGGGCCAGATTTGAACTCAGGAAGATGAGTCTTCCTTACTCCAGGCCCAGTGCTTTATCCACTGTGCCACCTAGCTGCCCCTCCTGCCCTCAAAAAGCTTCTGATAAATGTCCCTTTAGCTCATTATGGGTTCGTATAACCCTGGGCACATTCATTTTAATATCATTAAATGACTTATTCTAAAGAAGTGCTTTGGGGTTGAAATGACAGAATTTCAGACATCTTAGCAAGCAGGCCTAGAAGAGAACATGGGGTAGGGTCTTCTGAGTGTCCTTCAAATCACATTCTACCCTACCTACTTATATAACTCAGAGGCAATGTGATACAGTCGAAAGAGCATGGGACCTGGAGTCAGAGGCCCTGGGTTCAAACCTCACCTCAATCACTGCATGTGTGACCTTGGACAAGTCATAACCCCTCTGAGACTCAGTTTCCTCATCTTACAGATGAGAAGGTTGGACTCAATGATTCAGTGACTTTTGAGGTTGCTTCTCCTCAGCCCTGTGATCCTCAAATCCAATGACTGACCCCTTGGGCAGACTCTTCTCTCCTCAGAGTCCCTCATTCAATTCTGCCACTTACTAGCAAGGTGGCCTCAGACTAGTCAGTCACTTGCCTTCTCTGGGCCTCAGTTTCTTCATCTGCAAAATGGGGGAAATGGACTAGATGATCTGTCAGGTCCCTTCTGGTTCTGTGATTCCGTGAGACTTTCTTCCCAATTCTCTTCCTTTTTAATGGGGCTATCGTAGCTTACCATTGCTAACTGTCATGTTTTTCTAACCCCCTCCCCCCTTCCCAGGTTTAAGCAGCTCCTTCTGACCCAGGCAGACAAGTTCTCTCCAGCTGAGGTGAGTAGGAGCCGTCTCTATATCCCTCCTGGGGCTAGTGCATCCTTAACTTTAGGTCCCCCATTTGGGACAGTAGAGGCCTGCCCACATGGTGCCATGTCGGAAAACAGAAAATAAACCAAATAGTTCTAGGTTTAGGGGACTGGCAACCAAAAGCGTACATCATCCCAAATCCTGCTATAGTGGCAGCAGACCATCTTTTCTCTTTTCAGTACCTAGAGATGGGGAAAGGGGAAACTGAGTTACAAAGTTTCTGTCCAAGTCACAGAGAAACACATAAATTGAATCAAGCCCCCTTTAAACAGTGAATGTCCCCCAGGCTGGGAAGCATGAACGTTGTAACTGAGCACCAGACTCTGTAGCAGAGGATGGGCTGGACTTGGAACCTGGTACAGCGTCCCCCTTCCTTCACTCACCCCCGCACCCACCCCAGTACGCAGCGTCCGCTCCCCAGAATCTTCCCTGTCACAGGTGGAGCAAATGTTTTCATTGACGCCTATGGACCTGTCTGGAAACATCGACTACAAGTCTCTGTGCTACATCATCACCCATGGAGATGAGAAGGAGGAATGAAAGGACTCAGGGAGAGGGTGGGAAGCAGAGGGCGAGCTCAATAAAACACAGATGCTACCATCTAGTGCAAAGTCTTTTCTTCTGTTTGGGAGAAGTGTGGTGGGAGGCTTCTAGAGGAACAGATGGAACCAGTGTAGACTGACAGAAAAAGCATTGTGGATTGAGAGGTGGAAGAACAGATTCATGTCATTGCTCCATCATTCTCCGAGCCTCAGTTTTCTCATTTGTAAAATGGGGATAACAAAACACCAATATTGTTGATACCTATTAATACTATTAATTGTGAATACTGCTTATCTCACCAGATACCTGGAAATCAAATGAGTTCACATGAATGAAAGTGATTTGAAAAATGTTAAGTGCCATCTATAGTCATATGAAAATATGCTCTAAATCACTATCAATTAGAGAAATGCAAAATAAAACAACTGAGGTACCACTTCATACCTATCAGATTGGCTAATATGACAGAAAAGGAAAAGGATAAATGTTGGAGAGGATGTGGGAAAATTGGGACACTAATGCATTGTTGGTGGAGTCGTGAACTGATCCAACCATTCTAGAGAGCAATTGGGAACTATGCCCAAAGGGCTATAAAGCTGTGCATACCCTTTGATCGCGCAATAGCACTCCTAGGGCTATATCCCAAAGAGATCATAAAAATGGGAAAAGGACCCACATGTACAAAAATATTTATAGCAGCTCTTTTTGTCGTGGCAGAGGATTAGATATTGAGAGGAAGCCTATCAGTTGGGGGATGGCTGAAAAGCCTTTGGTGTATGATTGTAATAGAATACCAAAAGAAATAATGGGGAGGCAGATTTCAGAAAAACCAGGAAAGACTTACATGAATTGATGCTGAGTGAAGTGAGCAGAACCAGGAGAACATTGTATGTAGTAATAGCAACATTGTGCAATGATGAATTATGATTGACTTAGCTCTTCTCAGAAATACAGTGATCTAAGACAATTCCAACAGACTCATGATGGAAAATGCTATCCACATCCAGAGAAAAAATTGATGGAGTCTGAATGTAGACTGAATCATACTATTTTCTCTTTCTTTATTTTTCCTTTTGCAAGCTGTAATTTTTTTGCCAACTGTTTCTTCTTTCACAACATAACTAATATGGAAATGTTTTATATGATTGCACATATATAACCCATATCAAATTACTTACTGTCTTAGGGAGGGGCAAGGGAAGGGAAGGAGGGAGGGAGAAAATTTGGAACTTAAATTTTTTTTAAATGAATGTTAAAAATTGTCTTTACATGTAATTGGAAAAAACTAAATACTATTTTTTAAATGTAAAGCACCAAAGAAATGTAAGGCTTTATCATTATTACGTTCTCTAAGGCCTAAGTGTCACTTTTGGGTTAGTATGCTCAGGAAATGGTTACTTGGTTAGAAGCAATACTCTTTTGTTTTTATTTTTTTGCTGTTGTTGCTAGGCAATGGGGTTAAGTGACTTGCCCAGGGTCACATAGCTAAAAAGTGCTATGTGCCTGAGGCTGGATTTGAACTCAGGTCCTCCTGACTCCAGGGCCACTGCTCTATCCACTGCACTGCCTAGCTGCCCCTGTTGATTAGGTTTTGTTCTGTTCTTTTCATATGTATCGTTGTAGTCGTTGTGTATGTTGTTCTCCTGGTTGGGCTTACTTCACTATGCATCAGTTCATTAAAGTTTCCATCAAGACCCTTCACCCAGGACCTTATCTCCCCCTCCCCCTTTTCAGCTTACTTTTATGAGTTGTCTTCCCATTATAATGCAAGCTCCTTGAGTGTAGGGGCTGTCTTTCTTTTTTTGCTTGTATTTGTAATCCTGGTGCTTAGCACTGTGCCTGGCCGGTGGTAAGAGCTAATAAATGTTTGTTGACTTCTTTATGAAGACAAATCATGCTTCTCTTTATTCCTCATATTCATAGATCCCTAAGGTGCAATAATATTCCATTACATTCATATACAGACCACATTTTGTTTATTTGCTAGATGATGGGCTTCAAGAACTATTTTTCATTTTGTTTTCATGTTCCCAGGGACGCAGAAAAAAATAGACATTTCTGAAATATTTGTTGAAATTGAATAGACTGGATTTCTAAAATTCCTATTTCCATATTTTTAAAGTTATCATTCCAGAAAATGTATGCTCAGAGAAAGAGGTTGGTCAATCATGTAGTCAGAGTAAGAGACAGTCAGTGGCTGGCCTGAGCACTCCACTGGTACCCATAGAATGTTAAAAGACCCAGACAAAGGCTGTAGCTCATTGGGTGGATCCTTGGTGGAGGATATATGGAAGGATATGGACAAGTCATATGGGATAAGAAGGTGTGGATGAACTGCGATTTGCTAAGTTGGAGAGAGAATCCACATCAATGAGATCACTCCCTGATCCACTAAAGGATTGAAGCGTATGTGAATATTTGTTTTTGTAAGTAGTTATTAAATTGAGAACTTTTGAAAATGGCACAGTATCTGGAGAGTCTGGTGTGTGAGTCTAAAAGACCTGGATTCACATCCCACCTCTTCAATATTGACTGTGTAACCTTGGAAGGGTCATTGAACCTCTCAGTATCCCTCAGGCAACTGTCTAAAATGATAAATTTCAAAGCAGATACTGGTCTGCATTGGTAAAGGGAATTTCCTCACTGGGAGTTCCCTGTACTAATGAAATCACATTTGGGGTAAAAAAAAATGAAATTTAAAAATATGGTCTAGGAAGGAGCTATGCCCTGCACACACACACACACACACTCACACACACACACACACACACACACACACACACACAGAGTACCTCAACATTCTTCACAGTGGAATGGCTTTCCTTCTCTCTGTTTGTCAAAGAAAAACACCTAGATTCAGTAGCTCAGGGAAGGGAGGGGAATAAACATTTATATAGTGCTTAATATGTCCTGTGATGTGCCAGGAAGTGTGCTAAGCATTTACAAATAGCATTTCATTTGATCCTGACATCAACCCTGTGATATAAATACTATTCTTATCCCATTTTACAGTTGAGGAAACTGAGACAGAGTCCAGGGTCATACAGCTAGGAAGTGTCTGAGGCTGAATTTAAATTCTGGTCTTTCTCACCCCAGGACCAGTCAGTGCTCTCTCCACTGGGCCACCTAGCTGCCTAAGCTCAGCAGGATGGTGCTAATAACTTGTTTAATACCTGCAGCACTTATGGGGTGTCAGAGAGGACTAGCACTTCTGGTGTGAGGGTTTGCTGAGCCCTTTTCAGGGCTTCTCATCCACCTTTGGTATCCTCCTATCACCCAACTCTCACCTGTGGCTCCAAGAAACTATACCATGTATAGCGGCTTCACCCCAGTAAACTGTCTTGACAGATGGGCTAAACCAGGTTGATAGTAACCAACAGGACTGAGACCCATTGGTGAGTTAGGGGGGGTGTCTGCCTCAAGCATGTGAAGACTTGCCCTGGTGGAATAGGCAGATGAGAACAATCTGTTCTAATGGCCATGAAGGCGACTGAAACAGGAGCCGTGGAGTACTTAGAGCCTGGGGAGACATGGAAGATGCCAAGGTCATCCACTGCATCCTGGGCCATTGTCAGGCATCTTGACTTTTGTCTCGCCACTGGACTCTGATGACTCTGGAATGTGAGTGAAGCTAATGACCTTGTTCAGCTCTGCCTCACTTAAACCCACTTCACAAGAGTCAAGACATCACTCCAATGATGCCATTGGTTCCCTTTGAAAATGAACGACAAATAACAACTGAGAACAGATAAAGGGGCAAAAAGAAGAGCTGGGTTCTCATAGCTGATCCTCCCTTTAAGGTTCTGGTGGTGATGAGTGGAATGGCCAGTGCAAAGAAAAAAGTCTCCTCCGGAGTGTTCCTCTGGCTTCCCTTCTACATTCCACTCTCCTCTCCCCACCCCCTTTCTCCCTCTCCTCTGACTGCAGGTTCTCTTCTACCCACACTATTCTAGGAGTCTGCAACAACCTCTCACTCACCTTCCATCTGCCAAACTAATCTCTAGCCTGCTGCTCTCACCCTCTGTCCAGTCCTGAATTTCTTGCTGTCTGTGGAGATGTTCCACGTAGGCATAAAGCTGCCACTTGAAGCTGAAGTTTGAAAATAGAAGTCTTATCTCTCTGCCAGTGACAATATCATCGATCCTGTCTCCAGGCTAAGCATCTGAAAAGTTGGTTCTCTGTTTCTATGACTGACTCTACTTTCCTCCCTCCCTCCCTCTCCTGTCCGTCTGTCTCTCATGTCTCTGTCTGTCTCTGTCTGACTCTGTCTCTCCTGCCTCTCTGTCTTTATCTCTGCGTCTCTGTGTCTCTGTCTCTGTCTCTCTCTCTCTCCCCCTCCCTCCCTCCCTCCCCTGTTGGACTATCTATCTCTCTCTCACCTCTGTGGATGTCTCTGTCTCTATCTCTTTGTTTCTCTCTTTGCCCTTCCCTCTGTTTCTCTCTCCTCTTTGTCTGTTTTTTTTTGTCTCTTTCCTCTCTCTTTGTGTCTCTCTCTTCTCTTTTCCTTTCTCTGTCTCTCTTTCTGTCTCTGTCTTTCTGTCTCTTTCTTTCATTTTTATGGACCACCAAGCCCTCTAGTTTCTTCTTCCATGATGCTTCCCAGAGGATCCACATTCAATGTCACTAGCATTTGGATATTTCTCATAATTTGTCCCTTATACTCTACCCCACACAGCTCACAACATTTCAACAGCTTTTGAAATTTAGGAGACAGATATATGTTTCAGTTTTCAAGAAAATTAAAAGAAAAAGAGGTAGGATGTGGTTGCTCAGTACAGATTTTCATCCTGTTCCACATTTGAATGATTGGATAGGACCCATGCCCTACACACACAAAGCTCCCTGGGAGCTGAGTACACATCTGGTCAGGGTCTCTCCTGAGTCATACATGGGGCAGGCAAAAGCCCTGGTGGACAATGACCGCTTTTCCTGTTCCATTCATCTCCTTTCCTCAAGTGTAAGCTGGAGCAGGTTCTCTAACAGCTAAGAAGCCAAGG